AGCACCTATTTGCAGCAGAAAAAATGCATTTTGGAGGCAGCGGGAAAAAACCCGTCCGAGGCAAGAAAAAAACCGGCCGAGGCAGGAAAAAAACCAGCAGCAGAGAAAGTCTAGCTTTGCAACCCAAAAAGTTGCCGCAACGGAAAAAATACATTTCCGCAACGGGAAAGAGCAGCAGCCCTAATTTTTTTGGGGTTTGCTGCAATTTCCATAACCTTGAAGCCTCGAGGCTTGCCTTGAGGCTTGCGCCAGCTGCGGCTTAAAATTCTACAGTAGTGAGGCAGCACAGGCACCAACTACTTCAAGTTCAGCCTTGCTGGGACTTCAACAACAAGATTATACAGTTTCGAGTCCCCATGACCATGAGCCTCGCTTTGTCCTTGTGCCAATACGTTTTGCGTCCCAGGCGTGGCCTCGCCCAGGCCTCGCCGAGCCTCGAAGCGCCTCGATTGCATGCTTTGGAAACACGCGACCTCTTGCATCAACATAATAGAAAGGGAAAGGTTGTCATAATGAAGACAAGAAGGTACAAGAGGCCAGTTTTGGGGTTCGTTTTTTGCACCTGAAACTGATATTATTTTTGAAGACGGAGTTGGAGCCTCCCTTGAATGACTAAACGCTATCAGCAACGACTCTGACGCGGCCTCCGCAGGTGGGCTTAAATGCCTAATGCTTTCCCGCAATGTCACTGCAATCTGCAGTCACGCAGCAAGCAGTTTGACATGTCGCACCACAAGCTGAGATCAACATCCAGTCAGCTGGTGAACTTTCACTATTTCACATCATCTGTCACGAATCGTCTCTTCGCATGGCACATTGATCAGATTTGGCACGCGCTATGTTCTTGACAGTACCACACTCATTCTGCGGAAGCTGGGTCCATGCATGTCAACAGCAGCCTCCGAGATGCAGAGTCACAAATATCTAGAATCAATGCAGCTGAAACTAACAAGTCATGCAGCTGCGCACACAGTCTCGACCGACAATGCTGTGCCTGTATGGTCACACCTAGCTCATGCGTCCTGGGTTGCAGCAGTGGTAGTCCAGCTTCTTCAGGTATGGCTCTCCCCTGCAGCACAACCACAGTCTTTTTTTTCGGTCCATCGCCTCTTGGCTTTCGCCAGGTCGATCAACACGCTGTTGCATGTAGCAGGTCAATTAAAGCAATTGGTAATTATGTTCATTCTTGAGACAAGAGTGAACCAAGAATTCGGTGCCGGAGAAGGACCAGATACACAGTCCAAAGACTCTTGTTCGAAGACCTTCTTGCCAACTCGGTGTTGGTTTGGTGCGTGTCTACATTGGAACAGCGCAGCTGAAGAAGGTGCTTGGGTGGGCTAAAAACCAGACCTCCAAGAAGGCACCGGATTCAGCCTGTTGAGGATCCAGTTTTGGACCCTCGTGCAAAGGAAACGTGTTTCATCACTAGTCCGCAATCCAGAATATTTTTTTGAGGAGATCTTACAGATGATCAAGAAATCACACCCGGTGATTGTACAAATGCTTCAAGCTGACGTGCGAGACGACCTACCCATTTCAGAGATTCGACCGCACCTGCAAGTTCCTCCGCTGAACAAATTCGGCTTACACAGACCCGTCACAGCCAAGAGAACATTAGGGAGAGTACCTATAGAACCCAGCCTAGATGCTAGTTTCGCCAACGTGGATGTCCCACGACTGGCCTACCTGCCTTACAACAGCAGCGAAGTTCCCAAAGTCGACTTTGTCCCACACACAAGTCGGTCTCGTCCGCCTTGATCAATCAAGACAACTGGACCAATATGGGTGTCCCATGGCTGGTTCCTTGTCCACCTTCTCTCCCTATGAATCGACCTCTCCATTTTGGTTATCGGGGGGACTTCCAACGTAGGGGAGGGGGGGACACTCTAGCTTCAGTAGCATAGAATAATTTCAAAGTACATCTAGCCATGGCATCCGTTGCTGTATTTGCTCATCCTGCCAAAAATAAAAGCGGTTTCAGAAGCACCACAAGTTGAAATCCAGCAAGTGGGGATCTCGTGGGCCGCCCATGTTGCTTATTAAGAAAGAGGGGCCAAAGATGACTTTGCCAAAGCTGAAGTCGGCTTGGTATTCCAACCGTGGCTGAGGTCTGTGTCGGATTTGTTGGATGGTGGCTGGTTTGGCCATCAACAGGTCTGTTTCAGTTTTTAACCCAATTGCTTCAATCAAAACGCAAAAAGATATTTGCAAAACTCGTCTGCTACCGGGGGAAAAAAACATGGCCACGGTTCTTGATATTTTTCTCAAAGTTGGTGTTGAGCACTGTGTCGCATATCTTTGTCGCGACTAAGTTGCAGTCTTAAGTTTGCATTGGTCTTTTACATCTACTTCAAGGTTGTTTATTGTGAAGCTCCTCTTGTTATGTTGCGGCAAAGTTCAAGGAAGAAAGTCGTTTCTCGTTTGCACCTCTTCCTTTTTGTTGGATTTCTCGTTGACGGCCCAAAAATACAAAAATACAGCTAAATATAAGTAAGTATGTGTGAAAGTGATGTCGAGAGTGAGCTGTGGCACGAAGAATTCCATTCCGATCCTATTTGCTTCAGTCTTGTAACAATCTTGTTGCTTCAGCAGCTTGCAAGCATGGAAAGATCGAACCTGTTCATTTGAACGTGCAGCACATAAAGCAAGAAACTGACGAAGGATGTGGATCGGCTTGTCGTCGACGGGCCTCGCTCAGCATGTCAATTCTGGAATCACCTGACCTGCTCCAGTGCAAATCCTGGATTTGCGAATCGCCTCACGAAGAAAAGAAAACAAAAGCAGAATGGGGACGTTGATGACTTGAGGTTGGTGCAAACTTGACTGGACAGGTTCACCCCTGCTTTAGCAACCAGCGGAGGAGTGACACAATCATGCAAGGCGTGTGTGACCCATGTTAGACCGTGAAAGCTTGGGATCAGGCGGTAGCCACATCGATGCCGTCTGGCAAAAAACTATGAAAGAAGTTGAGCGTGGTTGGTTGCTAGGCCCCTTGCAGAAATGCGAGGTGCCTGGTGATCAACCCCAAGCAAAAGATTTGGGCTGCAGCAAAAGCGAGAAAAATCAAGCTGATTGATGATTAGACAGAATCAGCTGTGAGCACTGGTGTGACATCAGTGACATTTCCGGTCCTTCAAACAATGGATGTCGCTTGTGCAGTGCAAGTTTTTTTTTTTTGCTCGGACGACCGTTTATGCTCTGAGGCACGGTCCTGTGAGCTTTGACTCTTACTCGCGGACCAGCGGGGAATCGAACCACCACCGGTAGTCTGTGATCGACGTCAAGAACGCCGCGATACCAACCAAGCCACGGCGACGACTATCGCTTGTGCAGTGCAAGCGTTCTTTGCGCGGTGAAAAGGGGCTGGACCCAGAACTAGTGGCGAGACTTAGCGCGTACAGACAGGTTGCATTGAGCAGTGTTGCGCCCATCAGAGTTTCTGACCCTGAGAGTAAGTGTATATGAGATACTTCAGGAGCCGTGTACTGCCTTTTTGGGGCGGTGAGGAGCATACATGCCTTCCTCAGATTGGCGAGGGCTATCTGGTGGACAGGTGCGGTTGGCTGGGGATTGCTTTGGACGTCGTTTTACGAGAGCACAATCATTTCTCTTTTCGAGCTGCTGGGTTGGTCGTTTGACAGTGTGTGTGAAGCGCTGGGAGTTTTTCGATCTACGCAACTCTGGTTTGGGAGTGGCCTTGGTGTGCAGCACAGCTTCGACGGTGGCCGAACTTTGCAGCGATATACAAGAAGTGATGGATGCTGGGATTCTTGGTTCCAAACGGATGCAGTTTGCGGAGTCCCAGTTATTTGGGAGGACAGGCAGGCATTGGATGAAGGTGTTGAGCGCGTTTGCAGAAGGCCATGAAGAAAAACTTGGGACGAAAGATCTCTTCTTTTTCAACTTGTTTAAACAGCTGCTGCAAAACAACATACCCCGAGAAATACGTGCGCTCAATTGAGGTAATGTGACTATTTTCACCGATGCTTGTTACGACCGTGATGATGAATACTGGCCTTGCGGCTTGGGCGGAGTCCTTTGTCACCAAGGACCCATACAATTCTTTTCACTGCCTGTTGACAAACATGGGTGCGACACTTCCGCGAGAGCAGGAAACAACAAATAATATTTGAAACCGAGACTCTTGCGGCAGTGTTAGCCTTCATGCTGTGGAAAGAATGCTCTGAGAACCAGAGGTGCTTGGTCTTCGTTGACAATGAAGGGACCATTTTTTTTTCTCAAAGGTTCATCTGAGAATTGCACAGTTGATTTGTTTGCTGGATACTTTGCGGAATGTGAGGCACGCGTCCACTCATTCACCTGGCTTGCAACGGTCCCTTCGAAAAGCAATATTGCAGATCCTCCATCGACGAACGGCACCAGTGCTGCTTTCTTTGAAAATGCTACAGATGTGTCTGCAGAGGCCAAAGTTTTTCTGTACGGCCTGCTCACAAGGTTAAATGAGGATGGGGAAACAGGCCTTGTGACACGCCAAATTTCCAAAAAGAAAAAGCGGCGCTGATGCCTTGTGTTTGGAAGGGTTTGCATTATAACGTGACTGTCGCATGAGACAGCACTTTATCATTGCAAATGCATGGCGATGACATGCAACTTCCGCTCAAAGTGGGAGGGCGGGTGGGCTCTTCTCATTTTGTTTCTGCGCTCACCCACCGCCGTCCCCTGCTACCACCTCTGGCTTGAAACAACAATGAAAGCTTCAGTTTGTGACCATGGACAGCTTCAACTTTGTGGCTTAACTCTTTCAGCCTAAAACAGGCCTTGTGACACGCCAAGGTTCCAAAAAGAAGAAGCAGAGCTGATGCCTTGTGTATGGAAGGGTTTGTGTCAAACATGTCCAGTGAAACACCCATGCAAGGATGACACGCACAAACAGAGAAGTGCACTGTCTTGCATTGCACAACACGTGTGATTGCATTCAACTGTCAGTGGCTCAGAGTGAAATAGGAAAACGCCGTTTTGCTGCCACTCCGCATTCCAACATGGCAGCGGAGCCCGAAAGGGCATGGTGCGCGCTGGCCTTGGCGTTGGTGGTGGCGTCTTGGCTCCTATGGCCATTGGAAGACAGGCCACACCACCGTCAATTCGAGCTGGTGGAGGTTGCCGCGACCTATGCACCCCACCATGGAACAACAGAGCCTGAAGGCGCACTGATGGTGAGAACTTTGGGGAGCCCAAACTACATCATGGACAAGGCCTACAACCAGATGGATGGTGATGAGGCTGCATCAGCCTATGGCAAGACTTTAGCAGCCGACGTGGACTTCCAGAGCAACGTCTTCAATGCCAATGTGTGCTCATGGAGGCCAACCTGGTGTGAAGATAGGTGGATTGGAACCCCTATGAAGCCGAGGATTGGTACCTTGGCAGTGGCAGAGCGACTGAGGATTGGAACCTTAGCGCCAGTGGAATGGCTGAGGATTGGAGCCTTAGCGTTAGTGGAATGGCTGAGGATTGGAACCTTGGCAATTGTGGAATGGCTGAGGATTGGTGCCTTAGCGCTGGCACACCTTTGGCAATCAATGCATGAGTCTCTGGAGAGGTCTATGGGCGGCCTTTTAGCATGTGCTTGGACTTTTACTTGCACGACAAGGTCATTGTGTATGACATGCTGGTTGAGATGGCCTATGACAACAAGTTCACTCTTGGTGTTCTTCTTCGTCAACCTTTTGAAGAAGTTCAAGGTGATGGCAGAGAACAGAAGAAGGAGATTGAGAATCGAGAGACAAAGCCACTTGGGTTTACGTAGATGTCCCCACGGGAGATCAAAGCGATGGGATGGCACCTTGGAGAGGCGCTGGCATGGCTACTTGAAGTTGAAGGGCATCATTTTCCTCACAATGTATGCCCAGACTGCTGCAATGGACGCCCAACAGGCGACAGACCTCTTGGGTCGGATAATGGAGCTTTCATCTGCTGCTACAACTGCAGCTCAGACAGCCAACACGATGCTGCAGAACTTTGGTGGAGGCAAAGGTCAAGGTGGTCCCCGGTTTGGAGATGGTGCGAAAGTGTTGAGGCCACCAGAGGTTTTCGACACCGACGACCCTGTGAAGTACACGCTATGGCGTGAACAGTTTTTGAATTGGCTCACATTCTGTGACAACCGCTACATGGACCTCATCAAGGATGTGGAGCAGTTGGAAACTATGACTAGTGGTGTTTGGGAGGACGATGTCAAGGACTTGGGGGTGAAACTTTATTCAATTTTTTCATCATACCTTCAAGGTCCTGCTCTTCAGGTGGTGAGATTCAATGCAGTGGAGAGGAATGGCTTTGCTGTGTGGCATCGGCTGAAGCAACTATATGCCCCTCGAGCACGTCCTCGTGCCCTGGCAATTGGTCAGGCAATCATGCAGCACCCCAGTTTCTCACAGCAGCGGTCAATGCTGGAGAACTTGCTGCAATTTGATTCCCTGCTGGATCAGTATGAGTTGGCTGCAGGGCATAGGATGCCTGATGACCTCACTGTCAGCACGGTCTTGAGGTGCCTGGACAGTGGAACGCGTCGACATTTGGAGATGGTGATGGATGACACCATGGACTATTCCAAGCTCAAGGACAAGCTGATTCTTTTGGATAAGAACACGAGAGCCTGGTCTGGTGACAACTTCCTCAAGAACCTCCAGATCATGAACCAACCGAGTTCCTCGAGCTCAACAACCTATCAGGGTCCTGCGCCAATGGAGGTCGATCAAGTCCAGTTTGGACACAAGGGCAAGAACAAGGGCAAGAGCAACTCCAAGGGAAAGAAGGGGAGCTGGTTTGGCTTTCCTTATGGTGGAAAGAGCAGTGGTGGATCGAAAGGAGGTCGTAAAGGCAAGTCAAAGAACAAGGGCAAGAAAGGAGGCAAGAGCAAGAACAAGGGCAAACAGCAGAAAGGGAAAGGCTATGGCAATAGCAGCAACCACAACATTTGCCGGTTGTGCGGTCAGTATGGTCATTGGGGCAATGAATGCCCATTGAAGGTCAACCAGGTGAACAATTCTGTTAGTCCTGGTGGTGATGCTCAAGCTACGACAGATGCTTCGAGCACTGTGGGTTCTACATCCACGAGGAGAGCAAGCACAACTTCATCGGCAACTTCCCATTCTTTGTCTTCGGGAACAAAATCTGTCAGGTTGGTCAAGATGTACCATGTTGCAACCCCTCCTGCTGAAACACCTGAGATTTTTGAGTTGAGAAGTGATTTGGAGGATGAGCCTGAAGAATGGTCAGTGAGGATGGTTTCTCAAAGCCTCACAACGTGGTTCAGGCTGGATGAGAATGAAGAGGAGCACGGCCACTCATGGAGGGCTGACCCGCTCATGGATTGGTACCATGACTTTCAGCCTGCCCTGGATCGGTACCAGGATGACAACGCTGTGGAAAAGTTCCATGTCAGGATGGTCCCTGCTGGACAGTTGGTGGTCTTGGACTCAGGTGCAGATATCAGCCTCCTGCCATATCATTTGAGTGGATGTGGCAAAGAAAAACCTGGCGGTCACGCCATCCTTGAGGATGCCCAAGGTGAAAGGTTGAAAACCTTTGGAAGGCGATCTGCCCAAGTTGAATGTGAAGGATTGAACAATGATTTGGTTGTCATCGAGGATGATTTCATCATTGCATCGGTTCAGAGCCCTTTGATATCCCTTGGTCGTTTGCTTCATCGAGGTTGGAGCTTAGTGCCTGGTGATTCAGCTGGTGCAAAAGTCAACTTGGTTTCTCCTGATGGTGAAGCAGCTATACCACTTCAATTCAAAAGAAATTCCTTGGCGGTGTATGCAAGCATCAGGGTAGTCAGTGCCAAGGAGCATCATGAAGCTGCTGGTGAAACCCCGTCACTGAAAAGGGCATTGCGCTCACAGGTGGAACCCAAGTTTGACATGGTTGGTGAGGAGCACGAGATGCTGGCTATTCAGACGGTGATCACACCTCATGATGAAGTACTTGAACGCATGTTCAGACGTGGTTGGAAGGTGACAAGTTCAGGGAATCCCGTGATCATCATGCCTGCATCCAAGAATTTCTTGGATCCTGGAATTTCCTATGCAAGGAGCGATTGGCCTTTCAGATCAACAGCGTTCCAGAATGATGACCTCACATGGGAGCTTGCAGAATTTTGCAACCAGTACTACCACTCAGAGGAGACAGAAGATGAGATTCCTGGCTGTTTTAAGCCAACTATGGTACTCACAATGCTGCACAAGAAGGAGGAGTCAACAGATGTGATGGGAACAATTGGCCAGCAAGAGCTGGTGGAGATTGGTGGAGCCCAGATCGATGCCAAAGACTTCACCTTTCCTGAAGAACCTGCGATACCTATGGAGATGAGAGAGGATGTCAAGCCTGAGGAGTTGGTACAACGTCATCCTCAACCCGGTGGTGATGGAGATGCTCCTTCCTTCACTTGGGAGTTTGAGGACAAAGAAGCGCTGGTGGTCAATGGAGAAACAATTACCAGCGAGAGCAGCATGGCTATGTTGCGTTCAGCAGCTGAGTATCTTGGGATTTCCAAGAGTGGATCAAAAGCTTCCCTGTGGCACAGAATCAATCAACGAGCTCAACATTTGGAACATGAGCAAGTCTTCCTCGAGGCCAACAAGTTGCATCGAGAACAATGGTGGCAGAAAGGCTTGGTGGGGCAGTCAGTTCCAAGAACACCCAGTGATGAGGAGATAGCCTTTCACGAGCTTTCACATCTGCCTTTTCAACCGTGGTGCCCCTATTGCGTGGCTTGCAAGGGAAAACAAGACCCTCAGCGTCCAGTTGAACCTCATGATGAAGATCGAAGATCGATCCCTAGCATCCAGCTGGACTACTGCTTTTCGAAAGCTGAGGAGTCAGACAAGGTTTCGACGGTTTTGGTGGCTATTGATTGCCAGAGCAAGATGGTGACAGTGTTGCCCCTTCCATCCAAAGGCAACAACTTGAGAGGCCAAGCTGAACATCTGGTGAGATTTTCAATGTCTTTGAACTACATGGACAAGGTGGAGTTCATCAGTGATGCCGAGCCGACAATGAAGTCCCTTCTGGCGAGTGTGCAATTGATGCGGCAGCATCTTGGATATCCCACGGTGGTCACGCACTCAAGGCCAGGGGACAAAGGTAGAACTGCACAGGTGGAGAGGGTGATTCAGACACTTCGAAAGCAGAGCTCAACCCTCGTCCACATGGCTTCTGACAAGTGCAAGCTGAAGCTTCCTGGGGATCATGCTCTATGGCCATGGGCATTCATCCACGCTGCATGGAGTTTGAACAGGTTCTACAACCACACAACGACAAAGATGAGCCGATTTGAGTTGGTCCATGGAAGGAGATACTCTGGGAAGGTGGCATCATTTGGTGAGATGGTTCTACTGCTACACCGCAGAGGACCCAATGTCAAGCTTGGACCTCAGTGGGTGCCTGGCATTTGGCTTACAAAGACTGATGGAGATGATCTGCACGTGGTGGCGAGCCCCAATGGAATTTTGCGTGGAAAAGCCATTCGAAGGCTTAATGATCCTTGGAAGGATACATGGCTCTTTATGGTCAAGGACAAACCCTACAAGCAGGTCTCATCTCGAAAAGCCAACTTGAAGCACTTGAACTTTGGTGCCCCAACAACACCCAGGCCAGTGGTTGAAAAACATCCCACAGTACCAGGTGAGGAATTGGAGTATGATGTGGATGCCCGAGATGTTCGTGAATATGCCCGCACTCATCCACCGAGCCCAGTCAGTGATTTGGACTTGAATGATTTTGGAGTTGGAAAACGTGAAGCAGCACCAGAAGATTTTCCTCCCAACAAGTCTGCACGGCATGGTGACCAAGAGGAAATACCAGGTGCTGATGCTTTGGTGGATGACACTGCGAGTGTGGAACCTCAACAGAAGGTACCCAGAACGAGTCCTCAGAGCAGCCCAACTGCCAGTGGTAGCAATCTCTATCCTCCCCACTTTGCTGGCACGATTCAACAGGTTTTGGATGTTGGTGAGATAGATGATGAAGTTTGGGAGGATGATGTGGCAGAATACATCGAGCCCAATGACATGGTGATCAACCTTGGGGAAGATGACAACACTCCAGCCGACGAAGGGAAACCTCCACAGGTGACTTCAGAAGAGCTGGCTTCTTTGGATGAAGCAGCTGGGTATGAGGAGATCACTCGACTACTTGAAATGGATGTCCTCCAGGAACCAACCAATGAAGATCTGGAGGATGGAGTGGTTCTCTCCACACGGAGTGTGATGGATTGGAGGTTCAGAGAGCAACGCTGGAGAAGGAGATGCAGATTTGTGGCAAGAGAGTTCAAAGGTTCTGACAAGGGATCTGCATCCACGTTTGCCCCGACATCTGGCATTGGAGCCAGATTGGTGCTTCTTATGCACTGCTGTTTCCGGTGGTACCTTCATTGACATCAAAGATGCTTTCCTGTTGGTCCCTCAAAGAGAGAAGATCTTGGTGGAAAAGAACTCATGGTGGCTACTTCTTCAAGAATGCCATCTACAAGTACCAGCTGAGCGAGGTGGTGAAATGGGCTTCCGAGCAAGTCACTTTCAACATGCGAACGATTGAGTATGTGGATGACTGGGATCCAGAACGGCACGAATTCCGTCAGTTCAGGGTGCTTCGCTCGGTGGATGATGCAGAATCAGGTGAGGAGTACTTCAGAGAAGTCGATGGTGGAATGGCACGGTTTGTGAAATTGGACCGACGCCGCAGAAGGCGACATGGCTTTGCAGAGATCGACATGTTGAACGCCTACGATCTTTCTGATGGTGAAGGAGCCGAAGAAGAACCTATGGAAGTAGATGAGGAGATGGTTCCAGCAGTTGCAGCGAATTCGACCATGATGGCTCATGGACAAGGACCACAGGTGACTGGAACTACAACCTTGAGGAGTTCTTTACCGGGAACAAGCTCCATGTTTGGCGATGGAGCGAATGCAGCGGATGGAGCGATTGGTATCGCTGGTGGTTCTGCGAACAATGAACTACGTGGTGCGAGGTCAGATTCGGCGACCCGCGAGTATCTTTCATTGCCTGGTTCGCCCCATTCGGATGAACCGCCTACACTCCCTCTCCAAGATGTGAATTGGGACGACCTGGATGAGATCATGAGGCATTTGCCTGTGACTGAGCGGAACAGAGCCCTGCAAATGCAGGAAGTAGCTTTGTTTGATGTGGTGGTGTTCAAAGAATACCTGAAGACCCACCTATCCAGTTTGTATCCCAATCAGCCAGACATGTGCTGGGATTACCCAGCGTGGTGGACACGGAATGAACGCCATGGATTTTCCGTTTTCATGGACATTCTCGTCCGGGGTATGTACTTGGACAGTTGGGGAACATTTGTGGAACAGTGGTTTCTCCAACAAGGCCTAGCAGGTTGCAGCAATGTGGAAAACATACCCTGGAGCGAGGACTAATTCAAAATCATGCCTCAAATTTTCAGCATAATTTTGAGGCGGGGTGTCAAACATGTCCAGTGAAACACCCATGCAAGGATGACACGCACAAACAGAGAAGTGCACTGTCTTGCATTGCACAACACGTGTGATTGCATTCAACTGTCAGTGGCTCAGAGTGAAATAGGAAAACGCCGTTTTGCTGCCACTCCGCATTCCAACAGTTTGCATTATAAAAATTTGTTCTGTTGCGGCGTATTTGTAGATTTGTAAAATTTGCCTACGAGTGTTTGACGCACATGGCATCCATTAGAGCATCGGAACGCGTGCGGAAACCGGGATTATTTCAAATTTGTAAAATGATCCATGTGGTTTGTTCGGGATCCTGCGCTTTGGCGCAACACAGTTTGTTTGAGTTTCACAAGACTACCGCACTTGCATGTGTTGCTTTGTGTTTGTGTCGCACTGTTTGGAAATTGTTGGAAGATAAGGGGTCGTGAGCATGCACACACATATATATATATGTGTTGGATTGTAAAACAACACTATTTCATGCCAATGTTTAATCACAGAAAAAAACAACTGGTGTGTTGCATGTATGTATCATGCGCTTCAAGTCAAAATCAGCATCCCAAACGTGTGTTTGGTCGGCAATCCCTGTTTTGTCTTGATATCCTTCCAAAATATTTTGTTCTTGGTTGTTCCACGTGAAAACGCTTGTGAACAGTCAATCCGAAACAGCAAAGATATGATCTCGATAGACTCGCATGCTGAAATTTATTCCTGCAATTGTGACAATGCACAGGCATGTGCATATTGATGTTGTGCAAAATGGACCAATCTGAAGTACAGGTGATTGGTCGAATTGTTTATGATTGGTGAACGTGTAATTGGTGATTATCGGGATGATCTGGGAACGTACATTTGTATTGCCATTATTGAACAACTTGAAATATGGCGAATCTGCGGGAAAGGTGCATACACATTATCACTTGTTTGGAATTTTAGAATGCAAGACCTGCATTTTTTTCAGAAATGCCAACGTATAAGACTGGTATTGGGACAAATGCCGAAGCAGACGAACATGAAGACCATTATGAATTGCATGAAAAATTGCAACTGACGTGTGGTCCATTCCACAATTTTTTTGATGTTTTTTTTTTGATTGTTTGCTCAAGTCTCGCGGGCGGCGTAGCGCTTGTTTCAAGTTCACATCTCTTGTGTTTTCTTGGCACGGTTTCATGTCAAAAGTTGTGCCTGTGACCGTGCTCACAGGATTTCTTGGTTCTGGCAAGACAACATTGCTGAACCACATTTTGGAATCCCCAGACCATGGTATGAAATTCGCCATCATTGAGAATGAATTTGGCGAGGTTGGGGTGGATGAAAACATCATCAAAGAGGACTCTGAGGAGCAGATCATCGAGGTGAGTTGGTAGCCCCAAAACAGATCAACTTTGTTTTTTTGTTCCATTTGGCAATGTTTTTGCCGGTGTTCTTTGCAGTCAAAGGAAAAAAATCAGTTTTTTATGTTTTTTGCATTGTCAATCATGTTGTATTTTCCATTTCGTTGGTGACAAAAACTGAAGGTGAGGGTTAATACGCTGAATTATATGGGGACTGCAGGAAATAATGGAAAAATGTTTCATGCTGCACATCTGCATTTGCCCCATGTTGTTTTCAAAATCCATTGATTTGGAGGATAAAAAAAAACATGATCCAAATTTTTCCCAGACACTGCTGTCATTCTCGTGTCCAGGTGATGAATGGCTGTATCTGCTGCACGGTGCGTGGTGATTTGGTGAAGGTCCTGAAACGTTTGCGCGATAGACTGGACAGCATCGATGGCGTCATCATTGAAACCACCGGCTTGGCGGATCCGGCTCCGGTGGCCCAGACCTTCTTTGTGGATGATGACATCCAGAAATCCTACAAACTGGATGGGATTATCACGGTTGTGGATGCCAAACACATCGTCGAACATTTAGAAGAGGAGAAACCGGAAGGCCGCCTGTGTTTTTTGCGACCCGTTTGTATTGACATTTCCGAAATTATGCCAGCGTCCCCATGAAAATTCCTATGCCAGGTATGCCTTATGCGTAGACCTACTTGTAGATGTCGTTGTTAATCACCAGTCGTGCCTTGGGGAAACTCCCATGGGAAACCCCCAAGGCGTGGAAAATGAGAGCGTGGAGCAGATCGCCTTTGCCGACCGGATCATTTTGAACAAAACGGATCTGGTGGATGACGTGAAACTCGGTGAGGTGGAAGCCAAAGTGAAAAAGATCAACGGTGCCGTGGAGATCATTCGAACTGAGTACAGCAAGGCCTGGGACGAAAAATCACGAAGAAAATCTGAAAACAATGATGTAATAAACTTAATAAATGAAGAAATTGCCAAATGTGGGCCAATTCCCGGATTGTTTTCGTTGGCCAATTTTTTTTGCTGGCTTGACTCAAAATTATTGAAGGTCAATCCCCATTCTTGGTTGTTCTCACCCCCATGTTTGTAGGTGGAATCCTCGCTTTTGTTGGTTTATTGGTTCATCCATTTTTTGTGCTCAAATCCGATGTTTGATGGTTTCCATGGTTAATTTCAGCTTGTTTTACCTCAGGATTCTTTTGGACTTTAGGGCTACTACAGCGCAATGGATTGACAAGAGCGACAATTAGTACGGTTCTTCGAGTTTCAGTTAGAACAACGAACTGGGAATCCTCCCTGACCCTCCTGACCGCCCTGACCGGAAAAAGTAACGTGCTTTGGTTCAACAAAAACACGGAACAATCCCTGAATTAGGGGTATAGTCTACTTTTATATTTTGATTATTTTGGGATTAAAAAACATGGTTTCTGCTACCATAGATTTCTCACCCACAGGTGGAACCCAGGAAATTGATCAACATCAACGCCTTCTCCTTGGATCGGGTCTTGGAGATGGATCCCCAGTTCATGGATACGGAAGGCGGCGCAGGGACTCGGGGCGCAGGGTGGATGGGGTGGATCTGGAGGTTTTGGAATTTTGATGAATTTTGGGACTGACACATTTCAGGAAGTTCGGAAAACTGGGAATTCTGGTAGCACAGTAGACTTGCGGATCTCGCAACTGGCCACCCCTGGATCCCCTGGTAGGTGAGCATCAGCATGACCAGACTGTGAGTTCGATCAGCTTCAAGTTTGACGGCGAGCTGAATGTGAACAAGTTGGAACGTTGCCTTTCTTGGATTTACCCTCTGGTTATTTAACATAGCCATGGAAAATCACCATTTTTAATAGGTAAACCCAGGTAAACCATCTATGAATGGGCCATTTTCCATGGCTATGTTAAATAACCAGAGGGTACTTGGTGTTTTTCGGTGTTTTCATGTTTTTTTCCCTGTCCAAACCATAGGGGGCAAGGTTAAACTATGTTAAACTGGGGAATACTAGGGATGATCAGGGATGATGTGAATAGCCCGAGCAACCAGGCTGGTTGAGCATCATGCTGCAGACCAAGGCCCAGGATATGTTCCGCTACAAGGGCGTCATGGCAGTGAAGGGCATGGACACCAAATTTGTGTTCCAAGGTGGAGCCTTTGGAAATCGAGCTTTAATGATTTGGGCTTTTGGTTTGGGGCTGTCTGAATTGATTGGGAACCTCCAAATTTGATGGTTTTGAACGTCATAATGATATTATTACTATTATAGTTATTATGATGATGATGATGATGATTATTATTATTATTATACATTGTCGTATCGCCCTGAGGCGGCCGATGATACATTGCAAAAGTCTAAAGGATTTGGAAACGAGTTGGCTACCCCTGGCTTTGAACCCTGAGGTGTGCACATGCTTTTCAGCGGTGGCTTCCAGGATTCCTTCAAGTGGAAGCCTGAGGAACCGAGGACATGCAGATTTGTTTTCATCGGCAAGAATCTGGATAAGGCCCCATGGAGAACTGATTGGAGAAGGTGGAGGTCTGGTGATGGTCACATTCAGATACATTCAGTATCTTTGTGGTTGCTGGCTCCCAGCCAATGATGTGAATCATCCTGAATATTTGCAGACGTGCTTCTTATTGACCGCTGGCATGCCAGCTTATTATTGCAGCGCCGACCCCCATTTAAAGCCATATCCTTTTTGGTTTACATCCCAAGTTTTGTGGGTAAAACTCGCGAAACCTCGAAATTCTTGCCTTTGTCCCCCTACCATAGCTGGTTGGCGCATCCAACTTGCACCTAAGGACGGATTTAGACACCACTCAAGTGGGTTTGTCTGAAAATAAGGTACCCCTAAATCTTTTGGTTTATCATCATTTTTCCTATTCAGTAGCATGTTTTTTAAGGGGTATACGGTATACCCCATTTCCAGACACACCCAAATGTTGTTTTTTTCTGCTGACACCCCAAAAAGTCCCAAAAAGGTAGGGCATGGTGGATTCTTTTCCAGGCTGATCTGGAGAAGAACTTCATGGACTGCAAGGTGACTGCAGAGCCACGCTTCAAGGTGGGAGATTTCGTGGAGGCCAATGTGGGAAGCTGGTCAGGCGCGATTCGCGCGGCAACATGTCATGCTGAAACGTGGTGAGATGGGGTATTTCTTCAAAGATAGCAAAGGTTGTGAGTTCTCCTCAAATGCTCCATGGTGCTGGAATATTTACTAACATATTTACCCGGCAAAATCACCAAGTGAATATCTATATTTACCTATATTTCATAGATGGAGCATATGGGATAGACATTGATGGATCTTGAGTTGGCCACGGGTATTTAGATATAACCGGTATATATAACCTAACCGACCAGGTGGGAAGATCCTCAAGGTCTGGGACGATGGCAATCCCTACCGCATTCAGCTGGAGAATGGGGATCAAGTTTGGGCTCCGGAAGACTCCGACAATTTCGTGCGCCTGAAGAAAGCCAAGCAAGATGGCTATGCCGCCTGAGTAGATCGAAGCCCGGTTCACTGGACCTGTAAAAAATGGACCTGAGTAGGACTGTAGGCAAATTGAATGCATTTTTGGGCCTCAAAGAGACCAGAGGGGTGATTTTTCTGTTTTAGTTTGGACTAAGAGGCTCTGCTTTCCAAACGTTGTCCAAACATTCCCTGCACAAGCAAGGAAGAACAAAAAAGCAGCGTAGATTTGTGAGCTTTGGAAGGGGCACTACGACCCTACTTGGTGGTCACTCCAGTCAGTAAGTAGGCTATTGACCCAGCTGTCAGTTATCATTGGCAATACAACCCATTTGCGATTCGTGGGGCAACCAATAGGTAGTTTTTCCACTTCTTTGTTCCCCTCTTGGCAGAATTTCTGACACAGCTGAAATAGTGTCAAGGTTCTGAACATGCGAAGCAAGGAGATCGAACGGCCGATCCCGAATCAATTTCTAATTCCTAATACCTGGTGATCCTGGTCCAGCCAAAAAACACAGCTTGCCGATTCTTTCCGACGCGAATGGAGACTGGAAAGATGAGAATACACAGACTTCATGGAAGGGTCTCGACAAAGAAGAAGAAGAAGTGAACCCCTGCAGAGTGCTGAACGTTTTGCATCCGCATGGTCCTTCATTCTGCAAGCATCAAGCAGTGGACCGCCAGATGAAATACTTATCATTTTGGCAAGTCTTGCCCTTGTAGGTCAAATAATTTTGATCCTTTTTTATTTCCTTCAGAAACACATGCTAATTTCCTAAACGAAGCAAAACCGAAGTAAATCTTGGAAAAGATTCCCCTTTGGCTTTGTCCAAACATGAGGCATGTTGGGTCGTGCCTTGTTACCCAATGGAGCCGCTGGCTGTGTGTTGGGCTATGGAGGCAGGGTGCCGGGCAGGGTGCCGGGCAGGGTGCCGGGGAGAGGCTTTTACATGCTTTTACCAACAAGAATGGTGGGTTTAAACTGTTTAAACAACACAAATAGTGGATCCAACGGAACGGAAAGATTGGGATTTACGCAGCAAACATGGGGCTTAGCAAGCAAACATGAGGCTTTGACCAACAAACAATGGAGATTTTGAATCAAAGATGGTGAGCAAAATTGTGGAATTTTAAGCAACAATCAGTGGAATTGAACAAGATTTCATCCGACAACGGGAACCAGATAAGAATTGGGATATTTTTCATTGAGCCAATGCAACTTATGCAACTTGATCACATCCGAATTTCCTCACCCTTTGATGCCAGAGGCAACTGGAGTGTGGCTACAGGAGTGGCAGAGGCTGGGCGGTGTGGCGTGCGATTGAACCATTTTGAAGCCAGTACAACTTGTACGATATCCCCAGTTTCATATCGGATCGCGCTATCAACCGCTGGGATGACCTGCCAGGCGATTCTGCCACGTTTAAACTCAGCTGGTGCCCACTTGGAACTACACGTGGGAGTGAAGGCTGGGTGAGGACTTCGCCGACCTGACTTCGTCGAATCCTCGGAATGGGGCATGTTTGACATATCCTCAATTGGATTCAATTGGGATAATTGGGTTGTCTCAAAATCATTTCCCAAAATTGCCATTATCGGAGGAAAAATGATCTGATAAACTGTGAGACAATGTCAGAATTCGCCTGGTGGATTCGGTGATTCATTTCATGGTGGTTTTTTCTGGGTTCAGAGCATTTCTCTATCTGCGCCCCCTTAAGCCTTGTAAGCCTTAAGCCATATCCGTATAATTTGTGGATGTTTATCTCCATTTTGCATCAGTGAAAAACCCCCAGCTGGTCGGAAAAAAAACATCTACCTCTCTATATTATTCTACATCTATCTCTATCCTGTATATAATCCATACTTGCATCTATATCAATACATGTGCGTATATCACTATACTAATATCAATATAGGTTGTTCATGGTTGTTCCACATTTTAAGTGGAGGATACCCCAAGATGTGGCACTCAAATAGTTGGGAAACATATGGGAAAAAAATATGATCAACTTTACTACCTATCAAATTGTTGGGTAACACATTTTCCCGCAGACTCATATGTCAGGCCCCGGTGCCTGCCACACTCCGCCGCACAGCCTGCGCTGACGTGCGATTGCGCTGGTGGCTACCACAACGGAGGCCGAAATTGTAAATCTCTAGTGGTGGATGGTTGTTCTTGGTGTCAACAAGCCAAACATGCAGGGTAAAACGGCAAACAATGGCATTTATCCATTTAACATTGGGATTAAAGCCTAAAAACAGCACATGTTGACCAACCAAGGATGTAACAGAAAAATGACAGGCACCTGGGGAGTTTCATGGAGAGCTTGAGGGAAAAGGTGCGGTGCCCAAACCAAACAGCGGGAAGCGGAAGGATGACAAATAGTATGGCGATATAGCAATCCCAAAAAAGGATAGAACAGTTCGAAACTTGGAAAAATATGGGGAAAATATCATCTATACCATCCTGGAGACACGTTCTTTAAAAAATCTTTTTTGGGACTACTATATTGTTGTGGCATTTTGTGGCATTGATTGCATTTTGTTTTGTTTTGCCATTTTGTTGACAGAAAATTCGAAAATCAACTCTTAAGGTGGTTCCCACTTTTTGATGGCGCCATGTCTACATTTTTCTTCGAAACATATGGCTATGTCTAAGGAATTAGATATTGTGGAGACTACCTGGCTGTGCCCAAGATGTTTGGTGCTGCATCTCTGAGCACCTTGGGCTCCAGCCGCAGCCCAAGGATTCCATTGAGGGCGCCCTGATGGACATGTCGGGCTTGGCACGGGCACGCAGTCGCACGAATTTATATCTCCCAGAAATGATGGTTGGGAAATTTAAGGACCCAAGCCCAACTTAGAATATTTGAAGGTGAATGTCATCCAGATCGCGTTGGAACCTTGGTGAAATATTTTTGGGGCTTGCAGCCAGAGGTGCTGCCGTCCAATGCGGCAGGGTTTCTGAAGACCGTGTCCTCTGAGGTTGGACCAGTTGTCGTCAAAGCTGGGATCTTCTTTGCTTAGCACGATCTGTTTTCACCATGGATGTAGGGGATAAGAACACTCATTTGGGACCATTTATGGGGTGTTTCATATTGGGGGCATGAGATTAATGATTTCAAAAGATGAATAATTTTCATTAGCTGATGAGTTGCACGTACGTGCATGCAAGAATGAAGTTGATAACAATAAATTTACAGTGTGCAAAAACGTATCATTTAGCAAAAAACAAAGGAATTGCAGTTCACACATATTTTGACTTGGGACATGGCTGTGGTTCTGGATTGGATACCCCAAACATTTGATGGGTAGCAAACAAAAAAGTCTTTCTTGCCACAAATTCAACCCCTCCAAGCAGCGGTTCCCCAGATGTGTCATGGCCTTCAAATCGGCCGCAGGTGCTGGGGAAGATCTTCCAGACCCATGGGGAACAGCAGGATGAGTTGCTTTGGTCTCGTTTCGCAGAGGTCTGGGAGGGAACCGCAGGGGTTCCCATACCAAAATGCTGAGCTTGAAATTTGGCATACTTTGGCATACTTTGGCCATATCCACCTTGGTGACCTTGCCGCTTTTTCAACGTGTCACAAGTGTCACAACTGTCACCATCCGTCTCGTTGAATCCCCATGAAATCCGTTGCAGGTGCTGGTTGTCCAATGTCACCAAATGAGGCTTAAGGCCTGCGGCATTCTGCTTTCGTTGACTCCGCTTGGGTCCAATCATTTTGGGGGCCTAGATTGGGGAATTCAATATAGTATTGGCATTTTATTGGCATTACATATGTATATACATATATATATATACACATATATATATGTATATATATATATGTATATATATGTATATATATACATATGTATATATATATGTATGTATAATTATATATATATGTATATATATATGGGCTATGTATCCCTATGCGATCATGTTTCTTGATGACCCATATTTATTGGTTCCATTGTCAATGGCACTATGGGATATTCCTATTTCTAGTATATATTTGTTGGTTATATTACCATTGTACCCACCATTCGGGCCTCCCCACCAGATCCATAGATCCATTAGAGTCTGCGCTGAGTATTAGGGTGGTATTCACTTTTGGGAGACCAGAACAATTGTTCCTTGATATATGTATGTGTATATATATATATACATATTATACATTAACTATGTATATTGTACTTGTGTACTATTCATTTTCCCACCACTGTTGTTGAATTGATGCTTTTCATTAACATTCATGTTTTACCTGTGTTGTGCTTTCATCCCATTGCCACGCCTTGGTTTTTTTAAAGCTGCGATTGCTCATGTGGCTTGGGCAGTTTCATCATCATTTTCCCTGTGAAAATCACCATCTGGCAAATTAACATAGACCCTGAAAATGGCATTTTTGAGATGGAACTAATCTTCCAATCCCTGGCAGGGTCTATGTTAATTTACCAGAGGGTACCATTAATATAGGCATTTCCCCCTTTTTCAGACAGACGGAGCGACGGATGTGTGTGTTTTTCAGCGTGCTCAGAACAACGCGGACATCCCTGGCAGCGAGAACCCAGATCTTTTATCAAAAGTGTTGGAGGTTTTTTGAGTGGAAAATACGGCTGCTTGCAATAATAGTAATCATCATCATAGTAATGAAGGTTACTTATTACTGGAAAAATACATGAACAATGATGTACTACCAATCACCATGATAATACTCAGAGTAATAGTAGTAATTACTGTTTACTGTATCATCATGAGTTCAAGATGGTGAAGGAAAGACAACCAAAGTTAGTCACAGTATCAAGAATTTCTATGAAAGACAAGGGTCAGACGCATGTTCTCAGTGTGGGCTTTGGTCACTTGCAACCAGGAAGTGATTGGATGAGAACCAGGAAGTGTCTAGACTCTATGGACCGTATTCATCTCAATTCATCTCATTCAACCCACTTCCCATTGGCCCATTGGCCTTTGAAGTCAGACAAGGGTGTCCACGGTGTCCGCACTTGCGGAGAAATAAAACATATGCATCATATGCAGATAGATACATAAAGCCCATAGATGTTGGATCATCCCCCATTTTTATCGCTCGATCTAGGCCTCTTTGCCGCAGCTGCCAGAGTGCTGGATGACGTGGTCGGTTCCCCATGCCACTGGCGATGAGTTTTTCTGAGGGTGTTTTGTTGGTGATTGGTTCAGAGTATAAATGAGTATAGTAACTATAGATACTAAAAATCTGTTACTTATTTATAGTATATCTGTTACTATAGATAACTATAGTATAGGAACTATAGATAACTATAGTATATAGTAACCACCAAAAGGTGGTGATTGGTTTATTGATCACTAGAAATCAGTGGGATTTCACGCACGCACTTCTCCAATCTGTTTTGGGATGACTTTTTTTGGGGAGAATCTGCAGGACCAATATGCCAGATGTCCTGGTTCAAACATATAAAAACTGTGATTTCCTGTAGATTTTCCTTGAAACCAATCCATGAATTTCGTTTGTTGGTGTTTTCTGTTTGTGATTTTTAGTTCAGCCAATCAAACTTGCATCCAGTTTCAGCAATGTTTCAGCCATTTTTGGAAAAGAACGTTGTGAGGATGGGATGCTCAGCCAGGGACAACTCATTTTTTGATGATGAACTCCTTCATAAATATAATGACATATATCATATATGTAACATGTATTCTATTCTTTTGTATGTATATGTGTATATGTATATATATATATCTATATTGTATAGTGCATTATTATATATCATTACTCTAGATACTATAGCTGGTTCAAGAGTTCTTTGCAGTGTTATAGTTTGCAATTCCCCGAAACACAACTAGAATATGTTTTGCTACGAGTCTATTTTCTTTATTTTGCAGGGGCTACCATACAAGTTCTACCCTCCAAATGTTTAATCAATGGTAATTCCATAACCCTAAAGTGCAGCTACCGTACCTTTTCTAAGGCCATATGGCCATTGAAATGTCTGCCTTGATATACATAAATATACATTAAATATTACAATTGTTTATTATTATACATGACTATCTATCATTATTATAATTCTCTCTATATATAATATAATTATGTATAGTATATATATAGTATATAATATTATATATACGAATGTATAATATAATGATATATATATATATGTATAGTATAGTTATAATATATATATACATATACACACTGTGTCAACCCCGGATTAATAAACAATGGTTTATTAATTAGGGGGGTACTCCTCTAATGGTCATAATCTAATACTTACATGGTACCCTCCCAAGTAAACAGCCTAGGGGTTTATTAATCCAGGGTTGACATTATATATATATTATAGATACATACATATATATCTCTATTATTATGATACTTGATTATCTATCATTATTATAATTCTCTCTATATATATAGTATATAAAGTATATAATATGATATATATATAATTATGATATAATGATATACATATATATATATATATATGTATAGTATAGTTATATATATATATGTATACATTTATAAAATTCACATCTGATTGGGAACTCCGAGGCTGGTCCATCCCCCGATGCTGCCATGACAGCCTTGCGCACGCACCTCCGAGAGGCGGCGTTTGGAAACAACTTGGGGTACCATGACGCCTCGGCGACGCCTGGGAAACCAGCATATGATTAGGGAAATTCTGTGGGATTTCTATGGGGGGTACCATACTTTTCTTGAATTTATGGGGATTTCTATGATTTGTTTGTGGGATTTGTAGAATATGTTTAGCAATCATAGGTGGTTTTTGGAAGAAAACTGGGAGTAACCAGCAACAAACAGCAACGAAGCATACTATGGGGATGCAACAGGGAGTTTTCATGGGGGGCACCTCATCCGCAGATATTAGATAGGGACCAGCAAGATGTATGGTTTATCGCGTTTTGCCATATGATAGGGACTCAACCAAGAAGACAGGGGTGTAACTGTATAACCCAAACATAATGGGAATGTAATTAGTGGGGAATAGCCAGCCAAGCTGGTCTGGGGTTTGTCTAGAAATAGGATACTTGACCAACACCACAGGGGTATAAACAGCCGTTAATATGTGGATCGCATGGGATATCCAACCAACGGTATGATTTGGGTTTGAGAGAAAATTTCGGATACCGAGAGGTTGTTTTCATCTAGATTTGGAACTGAGAAACACATTGGGTCTCTGAGCTCGTTGGACCAGCAACTTGTTTCACAGCTAAAACTCCCATGGTGAGACTTGCAGTTGCAACAACTGCACATTGAAAAACCATCAAAAACCCTCGTAATCCTCTTTCACCAGCCACAAAAACAAGTTTCACCTCAAAGGTATATCTTCACATCTCAGCAAAGCAGCAAAACTTGACATTTTGCAGCTGCTCAGCTCAAGATCTTCGTCCGCATCCAATCGATTGCCCGGAGCGCGCCAGTATGACGGGTGCCTTGCGCGGCGGTTTTGGCTCCGAAACTTCCACGACTTCCACAGCAGAAGCGGAGGTGGTGACAGACGATGACTACTCGAATCGCGAGAAAGATCAGGACCAGGGGTTTAGAGATGTTTCAAGTATTCTACCATATTCTACCAGTTTTTTGACCAAGAATTGATTGAAGCTACCACTTTTGCCCACAAAATTGATGATTTGGCAATGATTTGGTATATACTTGAGACACATTTTAATGGTGATGCAATCAAGATATTGGGTGGTGAGGCCAAATCATGATGTAGTTCCCTTTCTATTTTCCATCCTTAAGAGATGGGATGATCCCAAGCAATTTTCCCTTTTTAGGGAGGCTTGGGTGGCAGCACGAGGAGGTGTATGCGAAGCTCTGCGGACAAGGCCGTCCACAGAACTTCGGCGATCTCCTGCATCCGAACTGCAGGTGCCCGGGAATGCCTGGTGCACTGGTGCACTGGTGGGTAGGGGTGGAGACTTTTTGCTAAGTAAAAAGCCAGGAAGAAATCCAGAAAAGTCGGTCCTTGCGTCGCAAGATCTCGTATTTTGCTGCCCTTGTTGAGATGGTCTGCCAGGGGCCCTTGCAACAAGAGAAACTGCCACCGGTTCCCATGCATGTGTCTTGGCTGTAGTTCTCGGTGTCCAACAGAAACAGAATGTGTTGACACTGGCATGAAGATCTCCTGGAAAAGCTCACCATCATCAAAGGATTGGTAAGGTCCTTTGGATTGTAAACATCAGTAGGGTTTGCGGATGTGATCTTTCCCTGGGTGATTTTCGGATGTCCACCCCGATCTTTTGTGGGTCACAATGATCACACCCCAAAATGGATGGTGCTTATTCAAGCTTCTCTTGGTTGCAATTTTGAGTCCACTCGAAACTGCAGATCGAGATCCAATGGCAGCTAGGTTGAAAGGTAATTCTCGCTGCTCATCTAGATGCCTGCAAGGCAAAAGAGATTGGTGGAAAAAAAGATGGTTTGCTAACATTTTGCTAAAAACCAAGCCTTTTGTGGGCACCTCGCTTTCCCAATGGCTTGACCCATCTCAATTTTTCAACATCTAAGGTTCTGCCATCTCTCGGAGCACGACTGTCCTCAAAGTTGCGGCCAGAAGAGAAGAGATTCGAAACAGCTGCGCATGCGCACGACCTCGAACGATCAGATGTCGTGTGATTTGCAATCTGCGGCCAAAAACTTGAGAGAGTTGTGCGAGGCGTTTGCGGAAATCCGGGGGATGGGGCTAAGAACCCTCATAGTGGGAATATTTTCGAATATTTTCGATATGTACATATACATATATATATATATGTATATATATGTATATATATATATATGTATATATATGTATATATATATATGTATATATATATATATGTATATATATATATGTATATATATATGTATATATATATGTATATATATATGTATATATATATATACATATATATATATATATGTATGACCCACACACACATATATATATATATAATATATATAGTTATATATTATATAGGATGGCTGGCTCAACTACCAACTCGACGTTTTTTTAGACGTCTTTTTGCCTTAGTTCAGGAGATACCTATAGAAGTCTTTAGCAGCAAAAGGATCCGGTTTCAACCTTGAATTCTGTGATTGGATACAGTAACAACCCGAAACAACACAAACTATCAGGGGAAAACTTTGTTTGTCCGGTCTGGTTGAAGGGGACGTTTTCAGGAACCCCTTGAATTTCAGAACAGGGAGCCATGGTTGCAAACTGGAAAAACAAAGCGCGCTCACAGTCCCCAGCTCTCTTAAATTTGGGGCTTGAAACACTGGTTTCTTGTAACATTTCGCGAAGAAACTTTCCCATTGAGTATAAGCAACTTCTGCAACTCGCAGATAACCAGATCTCTAAGAGGGTCCCTCTTTTTTCACCAGTCCCTCCCCCCATTGGTGATCCACCATATCCATCCCCTTGGCTTAGCATTGGATGTATTCATTTTGGGATCCCTTATCGAGTACTACAGGGTCCTCATTTTCCAGGGTTCCAACACATTCCAGGCAAATTGCAACCACAAGGGGTACTTTTTTGTTAAAAAACCAAGTTTGCCTTTTTATCCAGCCATTCGGACATCTCCGGACCCATGTTTGGAAAAAAATGATATCATTTGGAAATACATCAGAGATGAACATTAAAACCCAGACGGTTTGGGGTTGAACTTCTTCCCCCGCTTGGGGTGTCGCTGTCGCAACCGCAGGAGCGAAACTTGAACTCCGACGACGTCTTGGAGGTGGTGAGCCGTCTCGGCTCCAAGTGCAAAGAGATGAAGCAGCGCAAAATCACCACGCTGTACCAGGTGGGGGTGACGGTTTAGGTAGCCAGAAAGGGGGACAGAAACAGGGGATCATGGTGTTATGAACCGGAAGAACCATCAGAAACATCAGAAATAGTTCTGAATAGGGATACTAACCGTACTAACCTCCTGTTTTTTTGATAGAATTAGTGCACCAACAATTTTTTCAACATTGCCTAGAATGTACTAGAATGGCGTTCACCTACTGTATCCAGTGCTGTTGGCGCTTTATCCCCAATCCTTGTGGGTTATTTCTCATTTATCTTGTTGAAACCTCACAACTCCCAACATCTCCACACTTGTTCTGGTTCTATCCACCCTTAAACTTGCTGAATAGATCCACTATTCATGGATTGGTTGAATTTTTATGCCCCCCCAATATGCAGGAAATTAAGAATATTAACATTTACCTTATGTTCCTTTACATTTTACATGATAGTAACATAGATATGGAACGCCCGCCATGTATAGATCATGTTCCGAACGAAAAAAACATGCAGAAAGCCATCATTTCCCGAGGGCAGAAAGCCATGGAAGTGGCTTAGCGGACGCCTGGCCTACCTGACCACGGAGGAGGATCAAACATTAATGCTCTCAGCCATCCAGAAGGAGATTCAAAACATCCAGAAACTTGGATTTGCTGGTGACTTGGAGGTTTCCTAGAATCTTTGGGTACCAAAAAAATATGGAAAGCACCAAAGGATTTGCTGGTGATTTGGAGGAAAGTCCTGAAAAATCATAGGATATTTTTACTAGGATAGAACTATATAAGCCATCCATTTTTGGGTACCGAAATCATTGGGACTCATTGGACACCTCCTTTTTGCTGCATGGGGATGGGGGGATGAAAAGGTTCACCTCATCAGACACAGGGCCATCTTGATATGGTGAATTAAGAGGCAATTTGGCAACATTGGTGACTTTATCCTCCAACTAATATGGTTAAACTAGGAAACTACGATTTTTGGGATTGGTCATAAGTGAATTAAGATGGCCCAGCCAAATCCTAGCCATGTTCTGAATTTCAGCAACTCTAAGGACCTGGGAAAGCTGGAGCAGCTGATGGCCAAATGTAGATTCTCATGGCCATAGGTGTTTCAAGGATCAAACTTGGTGGAAAAATCTGGACAAGTGTCTGAAGTGGAATTTTCAAGATGGGGGTTGATGAAGCATCATGGATGATTGGTTGCCAGCCATGCGAAGATCTGCCAAGTTGGCATTTTCCGTTGGTCCAGTGGGCCGAAAAAAAAACACATGAGGCGGTTCGCGGCGTCGCTTGCCCAACAGATCGGCAAGCTTGATTTAAGTATCCTCAAGCTCTGAAGATTCCCAAGGTTGAGCACTAGCTTCTTGAGCAGGCTATAGTCTGGTTGTTATATAGTTATATGATATATGTATTTATATATATATATATTATATCTTGGCACCAAGCATTTTGTGTGATGTTTAAGGGATTGGAGGAGTTGTTTTAGGGTAAGAAGTTTTAACCAACAAGTGCATGAACATGTTTCAGCTGTCTTTTTAGCTTCACCCAGTGCGTGTGACATTGATGGACAGGAGGGTGCTCAGCCCCTTTCGTGAGCGGTGAAAAAGTGCTGGGTGGAAATTACGTTTTAAACCATTGGATTTTGGGGTACTCCAGTCTTTGACACAACCACATACATAGTACATAATCTATATGATATATGATACAAACCATCCCCAAATAAGGTCGGTTATTGGATATACTGGAGACATGACCCCAAATGGTTGGTGCATTATTCGTTTTAGCACATGAAGTAGCTTATCTAATCGGTCCCAGTTCCTCAGGAGGTGGAGACTTTGCAGCGGTGTCTATGGCAGATTTTCGTGAAACTCCAGGCTGCAGCTGGTTGCAGGGCAAGGTGACCAAGCAAGACACCGTTAAACCCACCAGGTGCTCAAGGCAACTAAGTGGTTGCGGTAGGTGTTCACAGGCAGATTTTGGTGACCACATGTGACCACCAGATTTGCAACTTACTTTGTTTCCCAACGCGTTACAAGATTCAAACATGCGTCTTTCCTTACCTCTGCCTAAACATCCTCATTCGTGTTGGTTGCATATACCACCATTCCTGTTGGTTGCAGGCTTGTACTCAGATCCGCCCCATGAGCCCTAGTGCTATGTCCTATTTTCTTTTACTCGACTCTTCAGTCTCACATCTTGGTCAGATTTTACTGCTACATTCATGTTCCTGTTCTTCCTGTTCTTCCTGTTCTTCCTGTTCTTCCTGTTCTTGTTTATTCCAAAGCTCTGAAACTCAGCAAATCTCAGTCTGTAACCCTCCGCCCTTCTGCTCCGGTGATCCCATGGAACCACGGAAAAAATGCCGTTTCGCTATGAAAATGGATTAGATAAACTAGAGAAATGGCTAAAACATCTAAAACGCAAGCTATGTAAGTATGATATAGTATGATTGGATCCGGTGTAGTCGGTTCTGAATAGCCCTATTCTATCCCCATGTCAACATGATGTCCTCAAATGACCCAGAGTTATGGCATCTTATCCAAAACAGAGATCCATTTTTTTGATTTAATTCATGACTGGTGAACAAGCAATTGCTTATTCACATCACCTCTGATTGTTGCTTACTCCCACACTATTGCAATATGGAGTATGTATATTAGTATATATATACATATCCAGGTATTCCCTCTAGTCCTGGCCAACCGTGTTCTGATAGGCATATTAATCATTGACATATCCCGCTGTTGATGGTTGGATCCCCGTCTTTGATAGTTTACTCCGCAATTCTTGGTGAACCCATATGTTCACATAGTTTCCGCGTTGATCCAGTCAAATTTACTTGAATCATATTACATATCCAATTTTTGTTGGTTACATCCTAATTAAATGTACCCTAAATATTCCCAAAATATACTTTATAGTCAAGAAAGCCCTCAACAAGTATAGTTAAGTACCAAAAGCGTATTTTTCCCCCAGAAGGAAGATGTAATTAGAATCAACTATGGTTTATAGTTAAGTATGCCTATATGTAATATATGTAGTTCAGTATCCCTTTAGGTAGAGTTAAGTATATTCCCACCACAAGTATCCCCTTAAGCGTACTTAAGTATAGTCACAGTTGGTTGTCTCGACTGATTGGAAGAAAGCTGTTTAAGCAAGCCATTTCGCTTTTGGTTGGGTGTCTTCAGGGTACCCTTGAGTCGAATACATAGTATCCCATAAATGATGGTTAGCAAGGGAAATTATCCCCAAATTGCCGCAAGTTTCAGCTACTTGTGGCCTAGTAAATTATTCTAAGTCAGCAAGATAGTATATGTAAGTCAAGGATCCCTCTAAGTATAGTTCAGTATAGTCCAAGAAATAGTATTATACTTGACTATACTTAACTATGCTTAAGGGGGTACTTGACCGACAAATAGTCCCAGCAGTATACTACCTTGAGTCCAATAAATAGTGATATATAGTCAAATATATTTAAGTATTAGTCAAGTACAGTCCCATAAATAGTACATCTAACTATCCATTTTTTTCGGGAATAGATTGTTCCCTAGATATCTTCCTAGCATATCTATATCCTTAGACTATCTATAGTAAATCTATTAATAGTATATTTATTAATAGTATATAAGAATAAATAGTATATATATATATTCGACATACTAACTATTATAACCAACTTATCATAACTATAGTTCATTTTTTCTATGATCTATCTATACTAGCTATGCCAGACTGGCTGTCGCGTGGTGCTACTGCTGGACCGTCGCGACTTCGCGGCGCGGCTGCGTGTCTTCCTGCGGGGCCATGAGGACACCGAGGTGGTGATCTAAAGGGACGTTGACCATGGAAAATCTGGTACCCTAAAATAGTGATACGGTAGTGATTTGTTGAGCTGGATAGAAATATATATACTGTAGAAACCTAGAAAGAAATCAATGAGAGGTCTAGAAAATGCCGATTAAAAACCATGGGAGAATGGTTTATAAGAGATTTGTTCAAGTGTCAATGATGATTTATTTGCGTTTTTGATGACTACCATATGGATAGATCAATGGGATTTAAGGATAATAAACAGGATTTAAGAGTCGACGATTGGGATTGAAGTGATTTAATTGGAAAACACATCTCTAGAAAATTAGTCAGAACATGATTGTAACAGGTGGGACAGTAGAATCAGTAGAAGATTAATTTCTTGGTCACTCTGCTGAAATGTGTTACTAGATATGAATGTGAATGCAGATGACGTTCATGATCCAACACAATAATTAGCTCGAATCAAAAGAATGAGCATTTGACCAATGAAACATGCATAGATTGAATAGATTGAAATCAAAAATGAGTTGTATTTTTACAAGAATCAGTGGTGTCGATATTCTTGGACAGTATGGGGTAAAGCCATAATTTCACCATCAACAATGTCCCTTCGGTCATGGATACTCCTGGCCAGTGTTCTTTTTTCCAATACGGACAATTTGTTCGTACATGAGTTGGGAACTCAAGTGTAGCAAAATTCCACTGTTTGTTGGTGAAATTTCGAATTTCTCTCCATGTTGGTTGAAGATTTCCATGGCTTTCGCTCAACTGCAGAAACCAGGAGCCCAATGAGGCTTTGGTGCGCCACTGGCGGCAGCATAAGGCTATGGTGGTACCCTGGGAGTTGGATGGTTTATAATGGAAAATCCTATTAAAATAGATTATTTGGGGGGTACCCCCATGTTAGGAAACCTCGATTTTTTGTGGGTCCGTGATTTTGAGCCATCCTGTGGTCCCAGGGGTGGAATTCTTGTTCTCCATTAATCACGTGTCATGCCACGCAGGTGCCTGAGCTTTTCCCGTGGAATCAACAGCTCTGGTGTTTGCAGGAATTGAGCTATGCAGCCACTCGGACCCGACATGTGGTGCTTTGGATCCTTCGGATCCTTCGCCATCCAGCAATGAATCCTTCGGGGCTGAACAGTTGTCTCTTGTTTGTGAAAAAGTCCCTTAGGAAATAGATGGATATACGATGAATATACTAGAATACCATAGTTGTATCATTATTATTACTACTACTGTATCATTATTCAATGTTATTATCATTTTAGTTAATGTTTTCTCCCCCTTCTTTCGGAGATGCAGATGTTGAGGAATCAATGTTTTTCGGAATAAAATTGGCGAATGACTGGCAAGGCAAATCCGATAGCAAATCATTGGCAAAGCGGCTGGAAGTTGGAAGGTTTTTTGTTGATGGCAACTGGGAGCCCACTTAACAAATGATGGTTAACCAATGATGGTCAGTGATTAATAATGGATAGTAATGATGGTTAATGATGGTTAATGATGGTTAATGATGGTTAATGTCAAATTTTGGGATATCCAATTTATTCAATATATTCATTTACCGTAAATGTTGAGTCACCTTTCTGGAATGTCCTACAGCCAGCCACTGGTCGTCACAGCATTACATGTTACTCTTGCCTCATCTTGCAATGCAGAACTTGTGCTGCGCCTTACCCAAAGGGTTGTCCGAGCATAAACATGTGTGGGGTGCATGGTGAGTTGTTCCCATAAACACTTCCCTTACATGTGGGGTGGGCAACTGGGAGCTTGAGGCCAATCCATGTATGCTCAGTGGATGACAATGAAACAATGTGCTAGCGTGTTCATTGGGCTTTGGGTGCTCAGAGGTGCATGTCCTTTGAGGTGGGGTAGCAGCCACCGCGTAAGGAGTGACCTTCCTTGAGCTTTCTCCCCGCTGAATCGTTCTCAATGTGACATGAGCTTTGAAGACCTTCCTTTGGATGGCCAATTTCTATTTTTTTGCCCCGATCCAAAGTGAATCATTAGCAATTTTACAAGATTCTCAAATGGCTGTAGCAGAGAATTACTTGTTTGCCCCAAAGAGTAGATCAGAAGAATTACGTCCCAACGAAGAACTACATGTATGGGTCCATTGGTTTCCCCAATGGACACGCATTTCCTCATTGGTCACCTTCATTACTACACCGCAAGTGATTTTGAATGAGGAATTTTCTGAGATGGATGACCATAACCCAAAGGATTATGAAGCTGGTTAGATGTATCCATGATATCTATATATAGCCATACGTTTCCCAAAAATTGTTCAAGGGAAAATCTGCAGGAAAGACTTTTCGGACATTCGCTTTGGGGTCTTAAAAACATTATTTCCTGGGATTGCTTTCCCTCAAACCAATCCATGGATAAACCTAAGTATGGTTGCTTTCCTCATTATAATCAACATAATTTTCCATATTATTTGTACAAATATAAGGTAATCCAATATACATTTCCCATTCGAATCCGATTTGCAGAAAATTTGAGGCTGATCTCTTGCCATCCGCCAGCAGAGCAGTGAAGGAGGCCGCAAAAAAATCCATCGGAGCAGCAGGTTGTTAGGTGCAACCGCCACCAACAGGGTCGTCCTACATGGACATCTGAGGACCGGTGTGTCATAAAGCTGATTACCAAGGCTGTCATTTCGGGAAGTGATCCTATTTTCGATGGTAAATTCAGCATGACTAGGAAGAATTTTCGGACTATTGGTGTCATGGGAAATATTGTTGTGGCATCTTCATTTGCCTCAACGTTTGTTTTTATACCTATAACTTTTCTATGGATATTGTTAACAGATAGTTGTTAACAGATAATTGTTAAGAGGGATGCGCATCCAAGTAAAGAATAGAATGGACAGATTTATTCCTACCGAAGATTGTGGGGCGTCCTTCACCAACCCCCAAAAGATCGAACAGTGAAATCGTAAAATATCATGGGAAACCGGGAAAGCCACTTGTTTCCCAATGTAGTTCTGAAACTCTGAAACTTTAGATTTAAATCATTCTAAATCATTCTAAATCCATGAATCACCTGATTTTTGTTGTTTCGATTTCTCATATTTCTCAGTATTTGCTTTGCATCGGCAGGTCTTGGTCTTGGAAAAGCGGCCTCGCCATCAGTGGCATCAGTCCCCCGGGCTTTGGTGGTGAACCTTCACCAACCTTGACGCATCGACAATTCATAACTGCTAGCTGCTAAATGGTAAACATGTGGCTATAGCGAACATAACGAGGTAGACCAACTGGTGAATGGTGGAGTGATTCTTGCATCGATTGCATAGCCTTTCTGATCGAGCATGCAAGGGTAGCTATGCATGATCCAAAAAATCTATGTATATATGGTCCACATGTATATATATATATACGTATATATGTATATATGTATACATGCGCGTATAAATAAACTATAAACATGTTTTTTTTTGACAAGCACGGAGGATTAAAACCCCAAGAATTCAATGAGAACCTGAGCTACCAGGGCAGCCTTTTTCCCACTGATGCCGTTCAGAGGTCATCCCGGATCTTGTCGAACTTTGCCCTTCTTGCATGGAAACTACTGTAGCTGTTAATTATTTTTCTTGGTATATATATATATACATACATATATACATACATATTTACATTACATTACATTACATTTGCATTTACATTTACATTTACATTTACATTACTTCACATTGCATTACATTTACATTTACATTTGCATTTACATTTACATTTACATTTGCATTTACATTTACATTTGCATTTACATTTACATTTACATGACATTACATTTACATTTACATTTACATTTACATTTACATTACATTACATTACATTTACTTTACATTTACATTTACATTTACATTTACATTACATTACATTTACATTTACATTTGCATTTACATTTACATTTATATACATTACTTCACATTACATTACATTACCTTTACATTTACATTTGCATTTACATTTACATTTACATTACATTATATTACATTTACATTTACATTTAATTTACATTTACATTTACATTACATTCCATTCCATTCCATTACATTACATACATATATGTATATATATATACATGTAGAGCGTTACGTAAATCCGTAGAGAAACAAAAAGCCGACAAATCAATGACGAGGACACATAGATGGTAAATTTTGCCACTGCCATGTTTGTTGACTGCTTAGGCAGGGACTGGAGAACCGTGACCAGAGTGAAAGAGGCGCGGTAGTGGTGATGGCACCATCATGGTGTTCAAAGATCGTGGGTCCAAATGAATCTATCTATTTCTGCAGCATTTCCTGTGCATCATGTGAAAATGGAACGTTAAGGTTCCCTTGCAAGTTAGACTGTCCAATTTTTAGACACCCAATCTCAACCCATCTCCAGAGCGAACCTACTTATCCCTCAGGAGCTGCCATGAGTCCGGAATTTAGTAACGAGTTGAATTGACGTGCGATTCGAAGCAGGATCCATATCTTTAACGTCTCTGAGTTCTGTTGCATAGTGAACCCGATAGCTTTATGACAAATGCCAGATTCGCTGTGTTAGACCCAAGGGATCTCCAATCTACTCTGCAAATCGCCTCATCAGCCACACAATTTTTGGTGATTTAATGGTGGTTTAATGGGATTTCGTGGGATTTACTGGTAATTTCATGGGATTTGCAGCCTTTTTGGAAGCTCCCGGGTTTCCAAAAAATCCACGCGTCAGCGTCGTGGCGAGTCGTGGCGTGCCGTCGAATCGAGTCATGGGGCAACTGGAGCCGTTGTCGCCGACCCGGACACACTCCAAGATGGCCGAGCCACTTGGTCTCCGATCGAAGAAAAGCGAGGTGACTCAAAAATGGGTGAAAAACCATGGCTCTTATCTGGTTTATGTTGGTTAGTTTATGTTAGTTTTAAAGTTTCAGTATGGTTGTTTTTTTCCCGAATGCGTAGCAAAGGGTTCTCGTTTTACTTCGGGGGTCTGGGGGTTGGGACGTGTTCGCTCCACGTTGCTTTCACGACTGCAAGTGTTCGCAAGCGACGGCAAGCGCCCGCAACAGTCCGCAACTGCTCGCGATGAGGGGAGTGCTGCAAAAGTGGTCACTTTTGGAGGTTTCAAATGTCGTGTAACGTCGTTTCCTGTGTTAGGCGGGGCACGTTGTGACATTCCAACATGTTTCATAACGTCTCAAAAGTCGTTCTGTGTGACAGGCGCAATACTTTTGCGTCCTTTTCAGAAGATGAGTTCGTGTCCATCTTCATATTGCAAGGCAGGTGCTTCACTTTAGACAAGTGGTGTTGCGAACTGCATTGCCAGGGCTGCGTCAAGTGGCGACAAGGTGCAAATTGTGTGGCAGGCGTGGGATATTGTGAGAGTGTCCTTTTGGGTGGCAGGTCCCATTTGAAAAAAATCAGTCGTGTGTGCAATGTCATTTTGCGTGGCTGGCGCAGTATTTGGGACACTCTGCACTTTACACTTTGCACTTGCCACTCCCCACTCTACACTTTACACTTCACACTCTACACTGCGCTCTAGACTCCACACTCTACACTTGACCCTTTACACTTTACACTTCGCACTCTACACTTTTCACTTTTCACTCCGCACTCTACACTTCACACTCCAGACTTTACACTTTAATCTTCACACTTTACACTTGGCACTCCCCACTCTACACTTTACACTCCCCACTCTACACTTTACACTCCGCACTCAACACTTTACACTCCAGACTTTACACTTCACACTCCACACTTTACACTTGACACTCCGCACTCTACACTTCACACTTTACACTCCACACTCTACGCTTTGCACTCCACACTCCACACTCCACACTCTACTCTTGACACTTTACACTTTGCACTTTACACTTCACACTCCACACTCCAAACTCTACACTTCACACTTCACACTTCACACTTCACACTTCTCACATTTCACACTTTCCACTCCACACTTCCCAAACTTCCCAGACTGCCCACACTTCCCGGACTTCCCACACTTCCCAGACTTCCCAGACTTCCCAGACTTCCCACATTTCACACTTTCCACTCCACACTCCACACTCTCCACTCTCCACTCTCCACACTTCACACTCTCCACTCCACACTCTCCACTCCACACTTCACACTCACTTCACTCTTCACTCTTCACACTTCACACTTCACGTGTCCTTGTCTACACCTCCGACATCCTTCTGCGCGGGATCCGGTGGGCACGGGCCTGTTGCGCTTTGGCCGAGTGCGACATCAGGTGCAGAGTAGACAGAATCTGTGTGGTCTTTGCCCCACTGTGTTTGCAGATAGCAAAAGATTTCAAAAAAACCAAAAGAAAAGAATTCGGACACTGGTCTGGTCACAAAAAACAATAAGAGAAAGGAAACAAAAGAAAAAGCAAAGATGAATTCAAGATACCACGCTTTGAGTCGGGTATCAAAAAGGTAGCGAAGATGAACTTCAGGTTTTACCCTAGGAGTGCTGGCTGGCTGTGGCTGTTGTTTGCTCTGCTGCCTTGCTGCTGCTTGTGCGCTGCCACTCCTATGACTCAGTGTGCGGACTTTTCCGACTCTTCTACCTTCGTGGTCACTTTGAACACCGGCCGCTCTGAGTGTGTGCTAGACACACTTAGCGGCCTCCCCAAGAACGCGAGCGTCAGCTGCGCGCTACCAGCCATGGAGTTCTCAGAGCGCCGTCGTTGTGCGGCTGTTGTGGCGGCCACCTCCATGCAGATTGCTAGCAATCCCATTGCAGTTGCAGTCTCACGGTACTTCTCGGATCTTTCTTGGCCAGGCCGGCTGTGGTGTATGACCGGGGTTTGTGGGGAGATGGTTGGATGGATCCTTTGGGTGGTGACCAAGTTGTTCCGTGCTGAGACCCCCATGATAAATCCGGTTTGTTGGATTGTATTTTCAAGAAGTCCCAAAAACCTTGGTTGCAGTTTAGTGGTGCGTGGCATCAAGTGTTCCTGGACGACAGGGTCTTGGTGGCCCCAGGCATGAGACGACTGCCTCACCGAAAACAGCTCTGGCAAAATTGGAGTCGCAGATTAGGCTTGGTAGAGAACGAGGACAAGGTCATTGCCTTTGCGCCAAATGGTTACAATCGGCACGCCTTCGTTCGCAATGGCTTCCCGGAACGCAATGTCCGGTCTCAGATTCGGATCCTTGGCATTGGCTATGTGTCTCCCGCTGGTGATGAAGTGGGCGAAGCGGGAGCTGCCAGAATTTCTCAAGCTGTTCAGATTGCCGCCAGATTGAGCAAGGCTCCTGTCCCTCTTCGGGCGCGTAGCTCTTTAATCCCAAAAGCTTCTTGGGGCTGGTGGCTTCAGGATTTTCCCACCAAAGGTTTGAATGATCTCTTTAAACATTTCAGGGCTGTGGCTTATGTCCATAGAATGTGTTCCAGAGATTTGAGGGCCATGCTGCAAGGTCATGCGTTTTGCCCATCTATCATGGCTTTGAGTGCATGCGTGTGAGACTTTCGGGTTGCTGTTGCTAATTGCTTACCCGGAGGCTTACCCTCAACCGAGGGGAAGTGGCCCAAACGAATCCAAAAGGCTCTTAGTGATCTTGGTTGCTCTAGGGGTGCTGGTTCTGTTCGGGATCATCCCCATGAACAATCTTTTGATTTGATCCATGATGATAAGGATTTAGTTCTTCATCAGGTGCGAGAATTTTGGCATAGAGCCAGATGAATGGATTTCTCCACAAAAAGCGGAGGGACAGTCTTCAGTTTCGAATTGCCCAGGTACAGCACGATCCTGTCAGGTACAAAAAGGCTGCCGAGAAGTTCAACCAAGGTGACAATCATGTCAAAGCAGTGCTGACTGGAGCCGCTAACAGCTCCGCCGTGTAAAAATCTTTGGTGCAGGAGTTCAACCGCCTTGTCCATGGTGTCATGGTCCCTCCCAGGTTCCAAACTGGAACCACATGTGTTGGGAATGCCCTGCGTGCCAGGAACTAAGGCCAATCTGACCATCTTGACTTGCTGCAGCGCAGGTTGGGTTCGCCATCAGGACATCCAGCAGACCACGAGGTTCTTCATCACATGGCAGCAGTATGAAAGGCTGCGCTTGCTGCTGCTGCACATCGTCTTCGTCCTGACGACGAAGGGGGTGCCTGCGATGACGATTAGTGGCTGCTGCCTCCACGGGTGTCGTCTTCTTAGGGAACGGCATCCTCCAGTATTTCGGCACACTTCACACTTCGCACTTCACACTCTCAACTCCAGACTCTCCAGACTCTCCAGACTCTCCAGACTCTCCAGACTCTCCAGACTCTCCAGACTCTCCAGACTCTCCAGGTTTTTTTAGACTCTCCAGACTCTCCACTCCACACTTCACACTCGACACTGCACACTTCACACCTCACACTTCACACTTCCCACATTACACGCCACACACTTCACACTTCACACTTCACACTTCAGATACACTCCACACTCTACACTTGACACTTTACACTTCACACTCCACACTCTACACTTTTCACTCCACACTCCACACTCTACACTTTACACTCCACACTCTCCACTCTACACTTGACACTCCAGGCTTTACACTTTACACTCCAGGCTTTGCACTTTACACTTCGCACTCCACACTCTACACTTTACACTCCACACTTTGCACTCTACACTTTACACTCCACACTCTACAGCGTATTACACTTTACACTCCACACTTTACACTCCACACTCTACACTTTACACGCCACACTTTACACTCTACTCTTTACACTTTACTCTTCACACATTACACTTTACACACCCCGCGCTACACTACACTTTACACTTTACACTGGACACGGTACACTTTACACTTCACACTTGACACTTTACACTCAACGCTATACACTTGACACTGCACACTCTACACTTTACACTCTACACTTTACACTTCACACTTCGCACTCCACACTCTACACTTGATACTTTACACTCCACACTCTACACTTGACACTCGACACCCTACACCTTACACTTTACACTCCACGCTGTACACTTTACATTTTGCTCTACACTTTACACTCCAAACTATTCGCTTTACACTCTACACTTTTTACTTTACACTCGACACTTCGCACCCCGCAATCCCCACTTCATACCCTACACTCCACATTCTCCAGTCAACGCTCCGGTGTTTTCACACGCCACACTCTGCACTCCACCCCTTTATATTCCACAGCCTACACTGGCACGGTAACAGGGGAAAAATGTACAAGACTGTTGTTGAAATAACTGGTTTCACAAAAGTGTTTTATGCGACTGCATTCGGGTTCGTTGGTTGCTCTTGTTTTTCTGTTCCGAAACCAAGCGCCGCAAACCCTTGATATATACTGGATATTTGCGGTCATAAGCAAAGAATAAAACATGTATACTGTCTCCTGGTACGCTCAGGGTCCATGACCATCGAGATCGTTGGGTAGGCAGCCTTGCTCAGGGGTAGGCTTAGACACGCCAAAATCAGCAGCACTGAACTCAATTTGCAGCTTTTTGGTCGGTTCAGCCAGAGTCTGAGGAAAGCATCACAGATTCGCAAGAGCTTCCAGCGCCCAAAATTTTGGGTCATGGGCTTTGGCTGGTGCCTTGCAGGTTGTGCTGGAGCGGCCAACACCGTTGCGTGGCATGCGATTTACCATCTACCAACGGGTCATTTTCCATGGCCATGTTAAAAATACCACAAGGTAAGGTTTGAAAAACATATTGGGATTTTAACTGACTTAATCAAACCACAGAATTTTTTGATGGCTGAAAAGTGGGGAATCGGCTAAGAGAACATGAACACCAAGAAAACACCACTAAAAACCCGGGGTTCAAACGTGTTAAATATCGAGGTTGGTCAACCTATGAATGATGTGAAATGATGTAAGCATGGGGAACTTGAATCACTTTTGGCTTTGATCCGTGGTGTCTTCTGTGAATCCACCATTTAGATCTGGGGACTGCACGCATCACTGGGGATAACGTTGAATTCATCAAACGTAGCGATTCCAACCCTAGATGTCAACGGCTATTTTTTTGAAACATACATGGACATAGACATACACTGATACACTTCACATATCTACATACATGCATACATGTGTCACTGTCAAAATATGGATTATTTTCCCATATTGGGGGATGGTCATCAATTGATTAACAGGGAGTTAAACACCCATTATAAAAATTCCCAGTATGGGATGGATGACCATAGACCAAATATACAATTCTTAAAACCCTAGCACACATGATATATCCCACTTCGCGAAACCACTTTTGGACTTCCGCGATTCAACATTAGCCATGTATATATGGAGGTTTCCCAAAAATGGGGGTACCAAAATCATCCAATTTTAATCATTTTTTTCCATGAAATACACCATTCCATTTTGGGTGTTTTTTTCCCTATTCCAGGAAACCTCCACATGGTGGTTTCCTAAAATGGGGCTACCCCAAACTTGATGCTTAATAATGGAAAATCCTATTAAAAATGGATGATCTTGGGGGTACCCCCATGGATTGGAACCCCCCTTTTTTGTGTGTAGAATCCATGGATGATCTTTAAGCGGTTTCGTCGACGCTCACATTTCGCACCAGGTTGCCTTCAAGAGTTGGCACCTCTATGCATCGCATGTCACGGGCAGTACATCCGCAATGGCCTTCCGACTGGAGGGCTACCATCAGGGAGAATGGGGATCAGCGACCTGGCCGTTGAAGGGCCGTTTTAAAGGGAGGGACAATATGGAAGGGTCTGGGGACTTGTTTTTCAGGCAAAAAGAGGGGGTGAATATAGCAGCTGAATGTGAGTTTCATTATTTAACACATGGGAACCAGTTGCAAAAAATCCAAACTCTGTGGTCCAGCTGAAGTTAGGCGCATACTGTACAGTGGTTGACTTCACAAAGCCTTTTGCCGCAGACCCCGTAAGGCCATGTGTGGGGATTTGAACCTGCGAAGCTGGATTAGAATCGCTGGATAAGTGAGCTTTACTCAACCCAACTCATTCCTGGTTGTTTGGATTGTGAACTAAGTGACTGCTGCCAGGAAAGTTTGAAGGAAGCATGCCTCTTGGTCCTCTCCTTCCTGTGTGGTGCATATGCCTGCGGTCTCTTGATCGACAAGAATCAAGTGCACTTCATGGGCAAGGCCTTCTATGGCTTGGCTCTGATACTGAACTCCAGCTTGCTGGCAACAGCTGCCTTCATTCCTGGCAGGTTGCTCCCAGTTTGCCTAGTGGCCGCAGCCTGCGGCTTGCAGAATGCCATGTGCACTTCCCACTTTGGTGCCATTATCCGTACCACACACCTGACGGGCACCGTCACCGACATCGGTTCCACACTTGGGCGGATCAGCGTGATCTACCTCCGAAAGGGTTGCCGACGCTGGCGCCTGAACGACGTGGAGCGCGCCGAAGTGGGTGTGGATGCCAGATGCTCGTCGATTTGGGCGACCTAAAAGGGGGATACCAAAGTGACTCAAAGTGGCCAGAGCCTTTGATCGTTGGTGACGTTGGTGTTGAAACCAAGTCTTGGTTGCCTTTCCCGGGTCCTGGTGTCGAGAGGACAGGGGGATCCCACAGCCATAGTCGGTGCAGCGATTTCCATGAGCGGCCCGCAATGGAAGATCTAACAAAAAACTTGCCTCCTTTGGGAATACCAGAGATGTGTTCGCAATCTGAATGTAATCCACTGGTTGTATATGATTTTAAGCTTGAGATGGATACTTTCCCCTTGCCATATCTTCAACACATCCTTCAACATACGTGTTGTTACATATCCCCGGTTCGAAGCCACGACGCCAGGCATGGAAACTGTAAGTCAATCTCTTGGAGAGAATATAGAAAAACAACTCATTGAATACACACCCTGCGCTTTTTCCCTAGGAAAACTGGGTGTGCTGTTTGGGCTTTGGAGTTTCTACTTTGTGGGTGGCCTCATTGGAATTTACATGGTGCCTCCGCTGCAAATGGCTTTATTTTTCGGGATCAAGATTGCTGAGCCCCAAGAATTGGAGCATCCAATGCCAAGACCGTTTTGAAGTGGGCCTCCTGTTCCTTGTAGGTATTCTATGTATCCATCTACGTATCCATCTATGTATCCATCTATGTATCCATCTATCGACCTATAGACCTATGGACCTATCTATCCATCTATCTATCGATCCATCTATCTATCTATCTATCCATCCATCTATCTATCTATCTATCTTGATAAACCCCTGTAATGCATATAATATAAATCAGGATTCTGGGGCCTGGGTTTTAATTTTGGAGGGTTTCTGGGTGTTAAAACTGGTTTTTGAATGGTGCGGGATACATATCAAAACGGTGTTGGCTCAGCACTAGTCGTTAGTGGTGTTTTATCCAATTCTGCTCTGGTTTACATATGCGTGGTTTATTCAGGCTACCCCCGTCCAGGTCGGCCCAGGTCCGCCTAAGTCTGCCCAGGTCAATCCCAACTTGCAGGTTCTCCCAGGTTCTCCCAGGTTCTCCCAGGTTCTCCCAGGTTCTCCCAGGAAATTAGTGATTTCCTGCGATTTTGTGGGTTTCCGGGATTTCCTGGGAGAACCTAGGTGTTATTTTCTGCGTTTTTGTGGGTTTCCGGGATTTCCTGGGAGAACCTGGGTGTTATTTTCTGCGTTTTTGTGGGTTTCCGGGATTTCCTGGGAGAACCTGGGTGTTATTTTCTGCGTTTTTTGTGGGTTTCCGGGATTTCCTGGGAGAACCTGGGTGTTATTTTCTGCGTTTTTGTGGGGTTTCCGGGATTTCCTGGGAGAACCTGGGTGGAAACAGTGGGGGATGGGCCTGGGAGAGCTGCAAGAGTTAGTTCGGGGAAAAGTGGCTGGAGGGTGGCCCGCTATTTTGACCCGCAATTTCTAAATTTCTGCCGCAGGCGTTGCCGCCCCCTTTGGCCTGCAGGTTTGCCACGCTTTAAAGTTTAGTTATAAGCATTACAGGGGTATAGCAATATCTATCTATCTATCTATCTATCTATCTATCCACCTTTCTGTCTGTCTATCTATCTATCTATCTACCTATCTAGCTATCTACCTACCTATCTAGCTATCTAGCTATCTAGCTATCTAGCTATCTAGCTATCTAGCTATCTAGCTATCTAGCTATCTAGCTATCTGGCTATCTAGCTATCTAGCTATCTAGCTAATCTGTCTATCTGTCTATCTGTCTACCTGTCTATCTGTCTATCTGTCTATCTGTCTATCTGTCTATCTGTCTATCTATCTATCTATCTATCTTTTTCTTTTCCTTCCTTCCTTTCTTTCTTTCGTTCTTTCTTTCTTTCTTTCTTTCTTTTTCTTTATAATTATATATCATTACAGATCTATCATTATCTTTCATTATCTATCTGTCTGTTTGCAATCTGTCTGTCTAGATATCCATCAAAATGCGTCCATGTCTACATCGATATCAACACACATATTTCTACAAAGCCTGAGAATACAGATGTAGATATAGATGTATATCCTTATATCCTATATTTCTAAGGGGAAATCAATGTAGAAATCCTATACATCGACCTTGGAGCCAACGGCATCCTCGAAGCCAGGAAAACATCACCCCCGGGCCTCCCGAACGTGCGCTGCTGCTCCCAGCCTCCTTCACCGGGGGCTTAGGCATGTTTTACATGGCCTGTCGCCAGGTTTTAAAGGCTGGCCGGTGGCAGCATTGAGCGGGGCTAAGGTGATCCCCAAAACCATGGAAGTTCTGATGCAAAATATGACATGTGTTTTGGGATTTTGAAGTGTATTCCCATTTTTGCAAAGCAAACAAAGATAATTCGAAGAAGTCCTACATGAATATTCAATGTTTGGAATATTCATCACTCTTCAGTGCAAACAATTGGGATGATTTATGGCAGATCGCCTGCGGTTCTGCCACGAAATATAGGGGTCTCTTCCCATGAATTCTCCCTTTGGCGAAGTCGGATTTTCCGCAACAGCGTAAGCGAATGGGGTCTTCAGCCCAAATATGCTGTGCTGGTGCAGGCGTCGGGTTGGTTCAACGAGGTTCCGGAAGGTTCCGGAGAAGGTTCCGGAAGGCTTTGGTGCAGAGCCGGGCCAGGTTCAACTAGGTTCCGGAGAAGGTTCTGGAGAAGGTTCCGGAAGGTCTTGGTGCAAAGCCGGGCCAGGTTCAACTAGGTTCCGGAGAAGGTTCTGGAGAAGGTTCCGGAAGGTCTTGGTGCAAAGCCGGGCCAGGTTCAACGAGGCTTCAAGTAGGTTCCGGTGCGATTCCGGGAGTGTGTCGGCGCAGCTTTTAGGTCAAGTTCCAGCAAATTTCGGACAACAAAATCTGTGAACATAAATTACTGCTGCTGTTGGGGATACCGCCGAAGCTTATTTTTTTCCGTTCAGAATGACACTTTTGGATAGTTTGCGCCGTGCCAATCGAATGGATTCGAATTGGGAGGGGGCCAAAAAAAAACATTGTTGATATTTTTTGACATCTGCCCCAACTTGTATAGTACTTCTTTCATCCCAAAAACTATGAGACACTTAACTTCAACCCCGTTTTGGCCCGAAGCTGTTGGGCCAAGTGCATTCGGATGGCCAGGATTACATCAAAAAGTTGGAGCAGGATCGGCTGGAATCGGATTTAAAGGAGGCCCATGATGTCTTGGCGCAGATGGGCAACCGCCTCACTGCGTTGGAACGCAACCCTTCTGCGACCTGGAAACGCAACGCATAGCATGTTCGGGTGAGTTGAGTGAAAGGGTATTGTGAGGTGGGAAATGAAGTTCCTTTTTCATCCTTTTTGTTTAATCTTGATCAGATTGAACTAACATGGAATTCCAGGTGCCATTTTGGGGGGTTTCACAGTTCCCAATTCTTGGAGTGAAAGCTCCAATGGAGGCCTTACAGTCAGGGTTTGCTGGCCCTCCCAGGTCTCAGAGTTGGATGCTGAGATGGGACACATGATCGAGGTGTGGTGAAAATCGGGTGCCAAACTATAGATAATTTAATCCTCAAATCGTTGGATGATTTGGAGGTACTTATTTTAGGAACCCACTGGAGCTAGATTGGAGTTGAGTCGTGGAGTCGTGACTCTCAATTTCTTGGTCTTATGAGTTTCCCCGGTGGATCATTAAGCCCAGTTGATGCACGGAATCTGTCAGTCATTGGCGATGCATTGCGCCAGCCGCCTTTCAGAACCGGGTGTCGCAACAGTTTGGGGTAGTTGGAGCCCTTCGCTCTTGCCCAAAATCCCATGGTGCATCATCATTTCCCTCATTTTTCGGTGAAGGGGGCTCATACCCCATATAAACCTTCTTGTTGCTTAAATGAGTTTCAAATTCCATGGTTTTAACCCATCGATTTGTCACTTCAGCTGGATGGATGCATCGCAGGCCCTGCATGAAGTCGAGTCGGACTTCGAGAATCTCTGTCGTCAGCACAGTAAAATGCTTGAGCGCAGCGATGCTTGGCAGCAGGTTTTTGGCTGCGAAACCACATCAAGTGGATGGGATTGGCATCAATGGGGAAAATATATGAACATATATGAACATATCTGATATGACTCATCCATCAAGATTGGCGACTATTCCTTTTTTTTGGGGGGGGATACAACCAATATTTGTGCAGATTTTATGGCTGTGACGTTTTGACCTTCATGGAAGGCTGAGAGTTTTGCACGTCACGGAGTGATGGTGTAATCCCATCCCCCTATATCACCATATCAACCCCAGAACCCATGGTTTAGTGTTGGATCTATTCGTTGCCCGTGAACGACCCTCGGCTGGAACCTGCACAATCTCTATCACCGTTGACCTTTTGATAGACCTATGGATCAACAACTCCAGAACAAGGGTGATTGGGGCTCCAAATATGGCAAATTGCTAACTTTCAAATTCACCAATCCAATGAGGGTTGAGAATTTGGACCCATCCCCACATACATATTGTATTTATACATACAAAAGTGTGCTCAGCAGAAGTTTTGGTGGTATAGTCGAGGCCTCCAACTTTCCAAGGATTACTTCTCTAACCAAACCTGGCTTTCTGCTCCGATATTCCTCATGAAAAAGAGATCCTGGAAGATTACTGCGCTTTTCCCAATCAAGCTTGGGGACTGTTCATTGCCATGTTTTTCACCTCATATCTTCATTCTTGCTTAGCAACTATTCATGTTGGATCCCTGATTTAATATATAATTATATATATATAGCTCTGTCCAGCATAGCAAGCCAAAAGCTGATCCATTGTGGAAAAGAAAGGAGTGGGAAATTTCAGATTTTGGGATGGGCTCAACAATTCCTGGATTTGAAGGGAAAAACTGCAGGAAAAACTCAATGTTTCGAGGGAAGACATGTTTTCCTGTGGCCCTTTGGAATCGAGGACCACCCAATCTTCCCAATTCTGGTGACTTTCCCATCGCCTCAGCAACTTCTTGTCCAGGAGAGCGCTCAGAGCAAGTTCCACAGCGAGGTTTGATGAGGCACGCTGCCAAAAATGCACCGCTCCCGCGTGGTTTCGCTAATGAGCTCCTTGGAGATTCTTTTTTAATGGCTGTGGAACCATTGGAATGAAGCAATAACAATGGTCGTATACAGTAAGGGCGGTAAGGGTCACATTTTATGGGAATATGGGAGATATAACAACCAACAATATCTGGTTGGTGGTTTCAAACATTTTTTATTTTCCATCATATATTTCATACTCTTTTGTGCCATGGAAATTGGAAAATTGCAAAGCACATCTATATTTCATATTTTTCAAGATGGTTATTGCACCACCAACCAGATATGATATGACTGGGGGTGTCTGAAAATGGGGACCCCAAAATGGCAATGTCAATGGGGACCTTATTTTCAGAGTGAAGTGGGTGGGACGTCGTGACGTCGTCCCAGATGACTTGGATGTCAATGACTTGGACATTTCGCTCCGAGAATTGGTTAAAAAAAACTACAGACACTTGAAACTTGAAACCTTTATTTTTCTTTTGAGGCAACATGATATTGGTTGGTTGTGTAGTTCAAGTGATGTTGCCACATGATCACACTCGAAAAAAATCCAAACACATGATATTTGAGGTTGTTCAGCCAGATCCAAACCTTTTTTCATGAATGTGGCAACCCATTTATGCGTCAGACCTACCGTTTGGGGATGGTAAACATAAGCAAACATGCGGCGCCGCCGTTCGCCCAAACTCCAAAGTGTCTCCCAACTTGCACCTGGTCCCAACTTAATGCACATGTTCAATGATTAAACTGATTGAAGATATTCAAAAAGGATCAAAAAGGGATCAACTCTCCCGCAAGCCTCAAACTATTACACTTGTTGAAGATCTACGATAAGGTATCAAATCTTTAAATCTCCCACCCCTGCTAAGCTACTGATTGAAGATCTTCAATAAGGGATCAAACCCCCCACCCCACTAAGCTATTACACTGGTTGAAGATCTTCAATAAGGGATCAAATCCCACAGCTCCGTTAAACTATTGCACTGCTTGAAGATTTTCAATAGGGGATCAAAATTCTTCTATGTGGAGGAAAGCGAGATTGCGTAAAAAGGGCAAAAAAGGGATTTTGGAAAACGAGCTTTCGACGGCTCTTACAGCACTCTCAAATCGCAAAGCCTTTTTCGATCTCGCCCAACACCATGTCAAGACATGTTGAGACAGTCATTTTGTACAAGAACGGTTTTGGCCCTTCGTCAAGACGTGATACATTGCATTCTGTAAACATACCACCCATAGAAATGGTGATGACTTGGGGATAATTATGGCATTAGGTTTATCACATGAAAGCATTTTATGGTCCAGTTGAGGGAAGCCATCGGTGGCCTCTGATCATTTGGATCAACTATCCCCTGTGAACGCTAGGCTTTTCAACAGTGGGACATTGCTTGGAAATTTCATCATGAAAGAAAAATACCTCGGTACGGTATGATCAACTCGAACAAAACTTAGAATTGGATTGATGCACATGCAAACACAGACCATCCTCTGCACTTTCAGGATGTTCAGCAGGGTAGCAGTGTTTATGCCCTTAGGTCCACGCCATCGCCCGAAGGTGATTTATTTCAGGCTGTGGCCACTGCATTCAGGCGCCTGACACCTGCCTTCAGGCGTCCTGAAACTTGATGGTTTTGAATTTCAGTTCCAGTGGAGCCTAAGCTGCCCATGCCGTGCGCAACCGCGCAACCGTCGTCCCTGGCACTCCCACGTAAGTTTCGCAGTGCTGGGAAGGTGCCTGAGTTTGCCTCTGCACACAGCTGGCTTCCCCCCTGTTGTCTCACCTGGCCGTGGCTTTGAGACCAAGGTGGATGGAAGTGCACAAACGAAAGGAGAGTGTAACAAACCAGCGTTCCTTGAGCCATGGCTCTACTTTCCAAGTGGCTCTTTTTCATTGTTCCTATCACAGCCCAGGTTACGCACTTGTCTTCCTCCCATCCACGACAGCACGCCTTTGTGGCATTTGGGCGCAAGCTGTGCTCCTTTAGCATTTGAAAGCGATGCGAACAGCGCCCCTGGCCGGCTCAAAGCCAAACCACTTCACGCCGTCGCGTCGCGACGAAGAAAAATCACAGGGGGCCGGGGGGACGGCCTGGAGGTGTGGGTGTCATCAAGGAACTCGGGAGATATGACCCAACAATGGGGGTTTCAACCAAGAGCCATGGGAATTTCAAGGAACTACCGTGTTTCAAGCAACGCGATGATTTTGACCAACAAGGGGCTTTCAACCAACGCTTGGTATGGACACCCCTGCCAAAGGGAAAACACTGAACTTGGTGCTTAGCCACCTCATCTCAATGTATCCATCGAGATTCATGCAGAAATGAGATTTTCACAGATTTTCCTATCAAGAAATGGGCATGTTCCCCTTGCCCGCGTTCAGAACAAGAAGGGAACTTGCCATCTTTGCTGCAGGTTTGCTTGCCTCTCCAGAGGCCCGTGAGTTTCATCGAGAGACTCGAGGGATGGGCGAGATATTGTGGGTTTAACCCATTGCTCAGATTTTTGGGTTTTACACAAAAAACAGAACCAGATGATATCAGATGATACACTCTGGTAAACTAACATAGCTATGGAAAATCACCATTTTCAATGGGTAAATCCACTATAAATGGTCATTTTCAATAGCTATGTTAAATTACCAGATGATATCCGATGATGTTAGATTGTTGTCTTGCTCACTGCCAGCCATCTTCCAACTTCCTTCCGGGTCTGCGACAGAAGCCCCCTCCCCGCATTTGCAGCAGCGCCATGACCCAGCAAGTGCAGCCGGCGAAGCAATGTGAGTCGAGCCCCAACACGAAGCAGATGAAGGAGACACTCAGTGAGGTCAAGGGTCAACATGAGACACTGACCACATGAAAGAGTTCCAGAATAGGTTCAAACATGGAGATATGATCAGAAAAGGGTGGGGATGTAACAGTAATCTAGAATCTATGTGTAAACTATAATCACAGACACAAGCAAGTTTGGTTTTTGACTTGACATACCACCAAGAAATAAGGTTCCAAATCGCTACATTGAAATATCATGCAATGATACTGTATTTAGTATATAGTAATTATAGTAATAGTAACCGATAAATAAATCATAACAATAACTGATAATAATGATGATAACACCAATAATCATAATGTTGGCAGCAATAACAACGATGACATCAGTAATAGTAATAGTAATAGTAACAGTAATAGTAACAGTAGTAGTCTTAGTAATATTAAGATTTACAATAATAGTAACAGGAAGAATAGTAATAACAGCAACAGTACGTGTACACATATATATATATACATTATATATACATTATATATATACATTATATATACATTATATATACATTATATATATATATATACATTATATATATACACATTATATATATATATACATTATATATATATACATTATATATATATGTATATATAGTGTATATATATATATAATTATAACGACCATCGATTGCAACTTTGTTGGGGCAGTGAGATGTTTGGCAGTTTGGATCATCATGCCTGGGAGACATCTCTGCTGAAATGTTTCGAAGCCCAGGAAAGCGGCACAGATTCGAAAGAGCTTCCAGCGACCCAAGTTTTGGGTCATGGGCTTTGGCTGGTGCCTTGCGGCCTGCGCCGGAGCAGCCAACGTGATCGCTTTCAAGAGCTGGAACCTCTATGCCTCGCACGTGACAGGGAGCACGTCAGCCATGGCTTTCAGGTTAGAGGGATACCACCAGGGAGAATACGGTTCAGAGACTAAAATGTGAAACAAGAGGAAAGTTCTGTCTTTGTTTTGTTTTTTTAGCATACTGAATTTCTAGTTGTTTCACTAGACTTCTCAAAGTATTACTGTACTGTAGGCATCGAGCAACCAACCAGGAAAGCTTGAAGGAGGCATGCCTCTTGGTTTTCTCCTTCCTGTGTGGTGCATATGCCTGCGGTCTCTTGATCGACAAGAATCAAGTGCACTTCATGGGCAAGGCCTTCTATGGCTTGGCTCTGATACTGAACTCCAGCTTGCTGGTGACAGCCGCCTTCATTCCAGGCAGGTTGCTCCCGGTTTGCCTGGTGGCGGCAGCATGCGGCTTGCAGAATGCCATGTGCACTTCCCACTTTGGTGCCATTATCCGCACCACGCACGTGACTGGCACCGTCACCGACATTGGTTCCACACTTGGGCGAATCAGCATGATTTACATCCGAAAGGGTTGCCGCTGTTCCAAGTTGGACGACGTGGAGCGGGCCGAAGTGGGCGTTGACGCGAGGAAGTTGGCCGTGCTCTTCGGGCTCTGGAGCTTTTATTTCATGGGAGGTCTCTTTGGAGTCTACATGGAGCCGTGGCGAGACAAGACACAGCGAGGGTGTCGTGGGTATATGAATTAAAACGGCTTTGATGTGCATAGCTGCTGGTGGGTTACGTTAAAGGTCAAGCGACTGTAGTTTCAAGCCATACTGTAGGCATCAAAGTAGTGTTCTTGGCATCAAACAATCATATCGTTTGCATCAAACAATAATATGATTAGGATCAACAAATATTTTTCCCAGGGAAATAAGAAATTCATGTTCACAGGAAGTCAGGAACGAAGCCAGGCAGGAAGGAACGAAGAGAGGAAGAGAGGAAAAGAAGAAGAGAGGAAAAAAAGAAGAGAAAGCTAATAGTAATATAAACAAGAACAAACCAGATAACAACAACAATACAAACACATTTGCTGTCAAACTGAATCAAACTGGCAAATGTCCTGCAAGTTGAAGGGTCCGAGCTCCAACTTGTTGCAAATACCCAGGATGAAACGTTCGGGCAAAGCCCGAGCGCGTCCCATGCAACATGAAATGCAGGTTCCGAAACGCCGCAGATACCATTTGACTGAAAATCACGAAGAGGTCTTTTTAATTCCCCCAAGTTTGGGAATACATATATATATATATATCTTGAGACTTCTTTTTTGAAGACCGACCAAATCTTGTAGCTTTAGAGAGTTCAAAACCCAGTTGGAAAAGGACAACTACATGTGTATATATATATATATTTATACATACACGTAAAATCGACAAGTCTATCGACCGCAAATGCTGAGTTCCTCTTCCTCCATTGGTAGATACCAATATCATGGATCTCTGTTTGAAACCTGATATAACTACCTTTGCCAGTGGCTTTGCCTTTACCCTTGAGGGCGAAAGGCCAGGCCTCAAACTCCCTCAGGAGAACATCATCCCTGGACCCCCTCAACGTGCCTTGCTGCTTCCAGCTACCTTCACTGGAAGTGTTGGTCTCTTCTACATGGCATGCCGCCAGATCTTGAAGGAGCCGGGGAACAGGGTCCATTCGTTTTTGGCACTGTCCGAAAATCAGGTCCACCCCAAAATCCGCAGGTTCAGGTGCTAGTCAAACTGCTAGTTCATAGCGTGTTTGAGCAGCAGAACCACGAGAATTGAAAAAGTTCAGTGTTTGGATAACAGATTTGCTTTTAAACCATGGATTTGCCCAAGTACGTTGGGGGATACTTGTGTTTGGTCGCGGAAAACCAATCCGAGCCCTGATCTCAGATGGTTTTTTCCATGGTTTTTGTTCAGGACTACATCAAGAAGTTGGAGCGTGAAAGGTTCGAAGCGGACTTGAAGGAGGCTCACGATGTCTTGGCGCACATGGGCAGTCGGCTGCACGACCTTGAGCGCAACGACCAGTCGGTGCGGACCTGTTGGGGTTGGCTTGTCCGGTTTGTTTTGAGATAACAACATGAACCAGTCGGAAATTTGGAGAAAATATGAGATATCCTCTGATCTTACTGAAAAAAACAGGGGTCTGTGCAGGATGTGAGATTTTTTTTGGGCGCATTGCGCACGGATACCTGGCAGACGTAAGATGACAAACATCTTAAGATGACTCAAGTACCCTCTGGTAATTTGTTACATAACTATGGAACATCACCATTTAGTTCGTGAATTTTCCCATTACCAGATGGTGATTTTCCATAGTTATGTAACAAATTACCAGATGGTAGAATAACTTGAGTAGATCAAGTCAAACATCCCAAATCACCATGGTTCTGCAGTGGCGGATGAAGACCCGCAGTTTCTGTCCGCGGTTGTGGGAGGTGGTGGAATTGGACGCAGAGATGGGGCATATGATCGAGGTACCGGGCTTCAAGGGGGGGGAATCCCTTTCAGCCATTGATCCTCTGGAGGGAAACCGCCCTAAGTAATCCACCAGAGTTTGTCAATCCCGGGTTGGGAATAGTTATACATATGGTGAATGGAAGTGGCTGATTGATGCTGATTGATGCTGATTGATGCTGCAAGTTTTGGATAGTCTTGGTCTACAGATAGGTAAACTCTCATAGACTTATAGATAATCTATACATGGGCCATTTTCCGTGGCTGTGTTAAACAATGGAGTATAACTTTCGTTGAGAAGGACTTGGTGTTTGAACAGTGGAGGACACCAACTCCAAGCCCTCGGGTACCTTCGGTGCGAAAAAAAACAAACAGCTCAATCATGGTGTTGACAAATTGAACAATCACATTCGTAGCTTGGTGATTTCATGTGATTTCAGAACATCTATCGGATCTATCGATTTGTGATGCCCAGGCACTCCACGAAGTGGAGGCCGACTTTGAGAATCTGGTGCGAACGCACAGCCAGATGCTGGAGCGCCAGGTGGCTCGGACAGTACAACTTGACCCAGGGCTTTGAAGAGGCCTCTGGCAATTCTCAGGCTGTGAGTTTTTCAGAGTTGGCAGAACTATATTAACTATATAGTATAGAAGAGATGATGTAGATGGAATATGATGGAATCGTATAAATTGTATAGGATTATAGAGATAGAATAGATTGAATGAGGTAGAGATAGACCTGGGTAGAACAGTATCGGATTGTTTTATCTCTCACAATTGTGTTCCTGCCCCATCATTCTACTCAAAAACAGACTATAGCAACATACCTGCTGAAGACTATGGCTTATTAAGGCATTAAGATTTTATTGGCTTTTTAGGGTCAATTCAACGACACCTGGGCCTGATACACCAGGAGATCTCCCGAACCGAGGACAGCGCTGCCAGCAAATCCGACAAGGTGTGACCGCTCCGTCCGTCCTTTTGCCGGCGTGGAACTGTGGCGTCCGTAGCGTGGCGACCCACGGCTGCTTGGTGGAACTTGGGGATTGCCTAATGGTGGACTTCTGAAAGTTCATATTGGATGAAGATTTGATGTGTTGTTTGACTTCAATTTGCATCAAGCCAAGGTTCCAGGTCAGGCTGGTTCTAGCCACGATGTCTGATGTCTACTCCAAAGAAGAAAACAAATGATACCTCCCAAGTTGGGCCAACAACACTTTTCCCCACTTTCTGCAGACATCCTAAGATTGAAAGGGTCACCATCAAGCACGTAACATTTCCATGTTATTGTTTAGGCCCAGTGAGTGTGAATGGCAATCATTTGGGGACAACGCGAATCCGTCCAGCGACGAGCAGGAGTTTATAAAATTGCGCTTGGGTCTGTTGCATGTGCACGATGCTTTGCAGTGGCTTAGGTACTTAGGAGGCTTTCCTCCGCCAGATGGCTCACAAAGACCGCTCAAGTGAGCATCCTTTAATTCAAACCCTTGCATAGTTTCGCAAAGCCATGCCCTGGTACTTGATCCTGGGCTCAACTTTATTGAAATCCCTGCTGCGTCCTGGTGGCTTGTGAGACCTAAGTGTCTCTCACTGTGGAGTTGAAAGCCTGCCGGGGCCTGCCTTCCACCCCTGTGAAGTGTAGAAAAGATCGGTGGGAGGCGGCAGTCAGCAACACCCAGCTGCATTCGTGTGGCTTTCAGGCCGGACTTTGACGTCGCATAGCATGGTCAAAGCCAAACATGCCTAGACCCAAAATCTGGAAAGGCAGAAAAGTCTGATTGTTTCTGCGCGCTTCAGACTTGACACACCGCTTTTTGCATCTTTTTGCCGGAGTGAAAAAAGGCTTTTAGTCTCAGCATATTTCCACATCTCTACGCGGGTTTTGCCAGCTATTTTCCAACTTCCTTCTGGGTCTGTCACAGAAGCTCTGCGTATTTTTGTGCATTTTCAGCGCCATGACCCAGCAAGTGCAGCCGGCCCAATGCGAGTCGAGCCCCAATACGAAGAAGATGAAGGAGACTCTTGGTGAGGTCAAGGGTCAACATGAGACACTGACCACATGAAAGAGTTCCAGAATAGGTGCAAACATGGAGATATGATCAGAAGGAGTGGGCATATCACACTGGATAGGTGTAAAGTAAAAACCGAAGGGATTTCGGAATTCACACAGGATATCAAGCAACCTCATGCATTCAGAAGAACTTGTTTCTGTAGCTGTTTCGAAGCCCAGGAAAGCGGCACAGATTCGAAAGAGCTTCCAGCGCCCCAAGTTTTGGGTCACGGGCTTTGGCTGGTGCCTTGCGGCCTGTGCCGGAGCAGCCAACGTGATCGCTTTCAAGAGCTGGAACCTCTACGCCTCCCACGTGACAGGGAGCACGTCAGAAATGGCCTTCAGGTTAGAGGGCTACCACCAAGGGGAATACGGTTCAGAGACTGGGATGTGAAAAGGAAGAAGCAATTGCTTTTTGAGATTGCTTTTTTGCCCTGAAACTTGGGGAGAATTTCCCTTTGTCTGGCTTAAGCTCAATTGTTTCACATTTTTTTCACCAAACAGTGTACTGTTAGGCGTTCTTAATACTTTCTTCAGGTGTCCGCCTTGGTGTTGGATGGTGTGTCCGTCTTCCCAGGGTCTTGTCTCCCTTTGTCTCCCATTGTGCCCCTTCTTGTTTCCCTTCGTTGGATGGTGTGTCCGCCTTCCCAGGGTCTTGTCTCCCTTTGTCTCCCATTGCCTCCCCACATGTGTGCTTGTGTTGGATGGTCGGTGTGTCGGCCTGCCCGAGGTCTTGTCTCCCATTGTCTCCACTTGTCTCCCCACATGTGTGCCTGTGTTGGATGGTGTGTCCGCTTTCCCGACTCATCTCTCCTTGTCTCCCATTGTCTTCCATTGTCTCCCCACATGTGTGCTTGTGTTGGATGGTCGGTGTGTCGGCCTTCCCGAGGTCTTGTCTCCCATTGTCTCCCACTTTCTCCCCACGTGTGTGCCTGTGGTGGATGGTGTGTCCGCCTTCCCGAGGTCTTGTCTCTTCTTGTCTCCCATTGTCTCCCTGTTCCCCTTGTCTCCAAGCTTGTCTCCCAGCTTGTCTCCCGGCTTGTCTCCCAGTTTGTTACCCAGCTCGTCTCCCATCTTGTCTCCCAGCTCATCTCTCTTCTTGTTTCCGTTTGTGGCGGGTGGTCTCATTTTGCATTTTTCTCCAAACAGTGTTTGTCTGCGGTTCTTAATGCTTTCTCATGTGTTTGAACCTGTTCCTCAAAACACTTCTTGAATCCACCCGCTGTTTGGGGTCTACGGTGGTGTAATTTAGTAGTTGATTGGAGCAATGGACCAGGAGAGCTTGAAGGAAGCATCCCTCTTGGTTTTCTCCTTCCTGTGTGGTGCATATGCCTGCGGTCTCTTGATTGATAAGAATCAAGTGCACTTCATGGGCAAGGCCTTCTATGGCTTGGCTCTGGTGCTGAACTCTAGTTTGCTGGTGACAGCAGCCTTCATTCCAGGCAGTTTGCTCCCTGTTTGCCTGGTGTCGGCAGCATGCGGCTTGCAGAATGCCATGTGCACTTCCCACTTTGGTGCCATTATCCGCACCACGCACGTGACTGGCACCGTCACCGACATTGGTTCCACACTTGGGCGAATCAGCATGATTTACATCCGAAAGGGTTGCCGCTGTTCCAAGTTGGACGACGTGGAGCGGGCCGAAGTGGGCGTTGACGCGAGGAAGTTGGCCGTGCTCTTCGGGCTCTGGAGCTTTTATTTCATGGGAGGTCTCTTCGGAGTCTACATGGAGCCGTGGCGAGACAAGACACAGTACACAGGTGTGTTGCGAATGTCAAGCTACTGAAGATTTGGAGAATTCACCGCCCATTTTACCGGAGAACTATACAGAGCTATTGAAACCAGATGGCGAGTTCCTCTTCCTCAGCAAATATTTTTTCCAGGGAAATAAGAAATTCATGTTCACAGGAAGTCAGGAACGCAGCTGGGCAGGAAGGAACGAAGAGAGGAAGGGAGGAAAGAGAGGAAAAGAAGAGAGGAAAAGAAGAAGAGAAAGCTAACAGTAATATTAACAAGAACAAACCAGATAACAACAATAATACAACCACATTTGCTGTCAAACTGAATCAAACAGGTTTAAACATGAAACAAGTGTCCTGCAAGTTGAAGGGCTCAAAAGCCCGAGCGCGTCCCATGCAAGATGAAATCCAGGTTCCGAAACGCCGCAGATACCATTTGACTGAAAATCACGACGAGGTCTTTTTAATTCTCCTAAGTTTTTTGCCTGGGATAGATATCTTGAGACTTCTTTTTTGAAGACCGACCCAATCTTGTAGTCTTAGAGAGTTCAAAACCCAGTTGGAAAAGGACAACTACATATAGACATATATATATATATATTATATTATATATATATATACACATACACACATACACGTAAATTCGACAAGTCTATCGACAGCACATGCTGAGTTCCTCTCCCTCCATTGGTAGATTCTCATGGAAAATCTCTGTTTGAAACCTGATATAACTACCTTTGCCAGTGGCTTTGCCTTTACCCTTGAGGGCGAAAGGCCAGGCCTCAAACTCCCTCAGGAGAACATCATCCCTGGACCCCCTCAACGTGCCTTGCTGCTTCCAGCTACCTTCACTGGAAGTGTTGGTCTCTTCTACATGGCATGCCGCCAGATCTTGAAGGAGCCGAGCCATGCCACATGCCGCCAGGTTTTCCAAGGCTCTGGGAGTTGTTTTGCCCGTGGCCACTCTGACAAAAGATGACAAAAGATCAAAGCTCACCAAACCTCTATATAGTTGTACCTGAAGATGGTCGCATATGGTCGCTAGGTGCTAACTATCACTAGGTGTCGTTTTTGGGGTTTTTCAGCAGGACTACATCAAGAAGTTGGAGCGTGAAAGGTTCGAAGCGGACTTGAAGGAGGCTCACGATGTCTTGGTGCACATGGGCAATCGGCTTCAATCCTTGGAACAGAACGACCAGTCGGTGCGGACCACGGGTCGAAGGGTGGAAGGAGCAGGTCCTGTATTTTTTGTTTGGAATTGTTTAAAACGGGGGTATGCGTTCAAGACTACCACTTGAACTGGGGCAAAAATGATGAACATTGAAATAAACATTGAAATAAACATTAAACATTGATAAAAACTATAAACAATCACTTTGGGGGGTTGCTTTCAGTCAGACTCTTCTCTAAACATCACGGAGAATGTTTGTCAACCACAGGTCGCCAATGATCATCTCAAAAGACCCTGCCAGGACAAAAGGTGTTGGTTGAGATGATAGGAAGTCCACATCACCATGTGGAATCACTGATATTCACTTGATAGAATCCTTTACTAATCCTTCACTTTTTTCTCTTTTGTCCTTCCATGTGCTTCCTTTCTTTCCTTTCCTTACTTTCCTCTCTTTCTGAACCTTTCCGAATCAGTTTCTTTGTTTTCTCTGATTTTCGTTGCTTCCCTTCTTTCTTTTCTTTAAGGTCCTTTCATTTCCTTTCCTCTCCTTTCTTGATTCCTTTCTTTCCTTCTTGAATTGTAGAGAAGAAGACGTATTCTTTGCCAAGAAGTGTTTTTTTTTTTGCGGATCCACTTTCGAGGGATGTGCTGTTGTTCAGTACCATGACAGCACTACGCAGTAGGTGTTTCATGTGCTGCCCCGTATTTATACGAGGTGTAGTAAAGGAATGGATCCTTTCGGAAACCTCCTGGATTTGCAGAAAAACAAAGAATCTTAAGAGGCCAGGGCAGGATGGGACAGGCATGATTTCAGTTTTTTTTTTCTCTGGAAAAGAAAGAGAAGAACAAACTTGATTCGGTACCATCCCAACAAAAAGGGGGATGTCGGGCATTCTGAAACAGCTGTAGCTTTCATTCTGATCTGAAGGGGTCGGTTTTGTCGGAGATTCCTTTGTAGGCACCAGAGGGAAGTTCGTTGTAGGCGAACTGGCTTTCGAATAGAATATACACAATATAGTTAGAGGAGGGCTATTTTTTTTGGGGAATTGTTTCTGTTTTTTTTTTGATTTCTGTTTCCCTGCTTCTTTGCTTCTTTGCTTTTCTGCTTTTCCCTACTTTTCCATACTTTTCCTGCTTCTCTGCTTTTCTGCTTCTCTGCTTTTCCCTCTGTTTTTGTTTCTCATACTGCAGATAATCCTTAAGAAACATCATATAAATAAACCCTAAATCAACCATAAATAACCCCCTAAACCCACCGAAGAAACACTAAAACTCTCAGTAAACCCTAAACACCCCTTAGATAAATTTGGAACTATATAAGCCTAAACCAGACCCAAATAACTCTTAAACCAACGCTAGATACACTTTAAACCAATCCTGAATAGGTCCTACACCAGCTCTAGATAGATCCTAAATCAAGCCTGGATAAACCTCCCTAAACACACCCTAAACCAGCCCCAAATAGATGCTCACCCAAGCCTTAATAAAGCGTAAACGAACCCTAAATATATTTTAAACCACGCCCAAATAGATCCCAACCAACCTTCAACAAACCTTAAACCAACCCTAAATAGGTCCTAAACCAATCATAAATAGATCTTGCTCTAAACCAAGCCTAGATAAAATCAAACATAAACCCCAAAAAGATCCTAAACTAACCCTTTAAAGAACCTAAATAAACCCTAACTCTAAACCAACCCTTAAAATACTTAAACCAAACAAAACCCGTAAACTAACCCTAAAACCAACCCTAAATGAACCCTAGTTGCTAACTACCATGTTACACGAACAGGTCGAACTCAAAAATGCTGCAAATACCGTTGAAACAGCAGCTTCCAGCTCCAAAATGTTACAAATTCCACTAGAATGTTGCAGATTCTATGGAAAATGAGAGGTTCCAACTCCAAAATGTTGCAAAGACAGCTGACATGGCAGCTTCCAGCTCCAAAATGCTGCAAATAGCAAGGAAAACGGGCAGAAAACGCGGATCCAAAAAACAATGCCCGAAACGGAAAAGAAATAGTTCCCAAAACAATTCTGGACCCATAGTTAGATGGGCTTAGATTTCGCCTGCTCCCAGGTGGTGGAATTAGATGCGGAGATGGGACACATGATCGAGGCATGGCGGCTGATTGGTGGAACAGTGCTGGAAGGAACATATCCAGGATGGTATGAATGAAAATTGGTACCCACTTTCCGGATTTTTTCATCAATACTACAAGAGAATCAGTAGATTCCTGGCAGTGACAGTTCTTGGTTTCAGATTTTCAGAGATTCTGAGGTTTTTGGTTGAGGATTTGTGAGCCAGATTTTTCTGACCAGGCACTCCATGAGGTGGAGGCCGACTTCGAGAATCTGGTGCGAACACACAGCCGGATGCTGGAGCGAACGGACGCCTGGCACCTTTCGCTAGAAACAGGGTCTTCCCATTGAACTGAGTGGTATTATGTGGTGATCCTGACCCATTGTTTTCCGACCAATATCTGAGACAAAGGGATAGGCGAGCTTCGGAACAGCCCAAGTTTGTTTCTTTTGGTGCGTTTATCGTGGCCCCAGTCCAGTACAACCAGAATTGGCGGGAGATAGTGGTTGAACCATTAAACATGCTACATGCTATAATGCTATAGTATTTTGCAACTTCATCACATCGTCGAACTTGATTTTATATAGACACGGAATTCTGTTGGCTAAACTCATTTGACGGGGTCGACCCACCTGTTCCTTGCAAAAGATACAATCGATGCCATGGTGTGTCTAAGGAAAGCGCCGCCAGCAAGCCCGACAAGGTGTGATTGCAAGCGCTTTTCGAACTGCGATTTACCGCAGCTCGGCAACACGGCTCTGAAAGATGGTGGTTGACCCAGATGTGGGTGGAGAGAATTCGAGCATTTTGCTGATTTGCTGGGTTTGTTTCCTGGATTTTCTCTCTTTCGTGGATACTAACCTACTGCTCAAAGCGTACTTGGAAGGTTTTTATGTGCCTCCTGGCGGTCACTTGGTTGCCAAGACTTTCTGCAGACATCTCAAGATTGAAAGGGTCACCACTAAGCACGGACTTTTTCATTTGAGGACGGAGTGAATCCGGTCCTGCATGGGAGTAGGAGTTTGTAGGCTTCATGCTTGCGGTTGTTGTAGATTCCAGCATTGACATTCATCACAATGCTTGGCGGTGGCGTAGGTACTCATGACTTCAAGCTAAGCTTTCCTCTGACAGATGATGGCCAGCAAAGACTGCTCAAGTGAGCATCCTTTAATTTGAACCCGTGCAACATTTGAACAGACTTCCATTCGTGGCAGACCAAATGCATCTGGGCCACACCAAATTTTTGAAATTTCTTGCTGCGCCCTGCTTGTGAGACCTAAGTGTCTCTCCAAAAATGGTGGAGCGAGTAGCTGCCACTCTCGGATTAGCGACGAGTAGGGGGCCTGCAATCTCCCGCTCTCAGGTGTAGAAATATCTGGTGGGAGGCTGTGGCAGTCAGCAACCCAAAAAGCATCTGGCTCTAAGCAAGCCTGGACTTTGACGCCATCTTCGCAAAGCTGTGTGATCAAAGCCAAAGATGCAAAGATCCAACTTTGAGGCAAAAAAGTCTGAGTGCCGGAGACTTCTCACGCCATTTTACACTTTTTGCCAATGGCGCAGTGCCCAAAGAGACTGACGGGGCCGCCTTGCGCCCTCAACCCTTGGGTTCCCAATTAAAAAAACCATCAGTAGCTGAGGATCCTAATTTTTGGGACCCACTTCACCATGAACTGTCAACTGGGATCATGAGGGGTCATGATCTTGCGCCACATGTGAGATGGAACTGCAGCGATCTTCCTAAATCAAACAGCTGCTGGTCCAGTTACTTCCGCTCAGCTCAGCAATGACCCAGTTGCAAGTGCCAGTAGAGAATGCTCCGCTGACCCCGTGTTCAGCCAATTCCAGCCCTACCAAAAAGATGAGGGAGCATCCTGGATGCAGTTTAGGCGTCTTGTTCTTAAAAAGACGGGTTACACCTCGATATTTCACCATGGGAGGTCACTAAGTCACTAGGTCAACATTCAAGAGTCAACATCACCTATTGTGCGGAAAGTAGTTGTTGGACCATCTGACAGATCTTTGTAAGGAAAACTCCATAGCCTTGACATTTTACGCCGCCCACATGAGAAATTTTGGGGATCCATCTCTGGGATCATTTTTGTTCACAGGAAAGTCAGGAAACTATGGGATTTCGCCATCATTGATGTAGTGGTTGAAGAGCTGTGGTTTCATGGTGCAACCGACAATTGGTTGCTGCTTGCTGGATGAAAAATGTTCCACTTTCGCCTGCTGGGAGCCACGGGTGTGCTTTTCTACTTGGACAGACATGACCCAGAAAATCAAGATTTCACACATCATAGCCTGATGCCTGGTACAATTTTCTTGCGACAGCCACCAACAAACAGCTTTCAGGAGGGCTGCGCAGATTCGCAAGAGCTTCCAGCGCCCAAAGTTTTGGGTCACCTGGCTTTGCTAGGTGATTTCCATTGATTTCCACTACATTTTCCACTGAAGGGAAATCTACGTAGGGAATGTTACATTTTTGGCCTCGGAAAAGCAAGAATGGGTTCAAGGGCCAATTTGAAAGTCCTTCATTCAAATCTGGGGGTTTCCATAAATGGGGGTACCCCTAAATCATCCATTTGAATAGGATTTTCCCTATTATAAACCATCCAGCTATTGGGGTACCTCCATGACTATGGAAACCCCCATCTAAGGTTATGGGCTTTGGCTGGTGCCTTGCGGCCTGCGCCGGAGCGGCCAACGTGATAGCTTTCAAGAGCTGGAACCTCTACGCCTCGCACGTGACAGGGAGCACGTCAGCCATGGCTTTCAGGTTAGAGGGATACCACCAGGGAGAATACGGTTCAGAGACTAGAATGTGAAACAAGAGGAAAGTTCTGTCTTTGTTTTGTTTTTTTAGCATACTGAATTTCTAGTTGTTTCACTAGACTTCTCGGAGTATTACTGTATTGTACGCATCGAGCAACCAACCAGGAAAGCTTGAAGGAGGCATGCCTCTTGGTCCTCTCCTTCCTGTGTGGTGCATATGCCTGCGGTCTCTTGATCGACAAGAATCAAGTGCACTTCATGGGCAAGGCCTTCTATGGCTTGGCTCTGATACTGAACTCCAGCTTGCTGGTGACAGCAGCCTTCATTCCAGGCAGGTTGCTCCCGGTTTGCCTGGTGGCGGCAGCATGCGGCTTGCAGAATGCCATGTGTACTTCCCACTTTGGTGCCATTATCCGCACCACGCACGTGACTGGCACCGTCACCGACATTGGTTCCACGCTTGGGCGAATCAGCATGATTTACATCCGAAAGGGTTGCCGCTGTTCCAAGTTGGACGACGTGGAGCGGGCCGAAGTGGGCGTTGACGCGAGGAAGTTGGGCGTGCTCTTCGGGCTCTGGAGCTTTTATTTCATGGGAGGTCTCTTCGGAGTCTACATGGAGCCGTGGAACTTGTTCTGGGGGGCACAAATTTACAGCATCCAAAAACGAAGCCGGTAAAGTCTCGAGACTTTGGGTCGCAGCAAATGTGTTTGGGGCATTTGGGAATTCCACCGTCCGCCTGAGGAGAACATCATCCCGGGACCCCCTCAGCGTGCCTTGCTGCTCCCAGCCACCTTCACCGGCAGTTTGGGTCTTTTCTACATGGCATGTCGTCAGATTCTCAAGGAGCACAAGATTGGAAGATGGGAAGATGGGGTTGGAAGATTGCTCCCTGCAGCTGAAAAGAACATGGGTTGTTGTTATGGGTTGGAAAAACAACATGTTGTCATGGGTTCAAAAAAGGGATCAGACAAAACAGATTGTAGCTTTTTCCAATCTCTGTGGAAAGTTCTGAGGCTGGTTCGTTTCTTCTTTTGTGTATCAGGATGGACCTTTTGCTCCGCAAATCGCCGAGCCGCTATTGGCCAAGAGTAAATCTCATCTAATTGGCCAAGAATGCATTCTTTGTGTTCTTTGTTTGGTCCAAACATGAGGGAGACTGCAATTTCTGGCTGCTGAACAGTGGGGAATAGCATTATCAACCATGAGATTGCACCCAGGGTACCCTGTTTTCAGGTCCTTATGCCATATCATGCCGCTAAAAATCTACCACCCGCTTCAAGTGCAGAGTCTTGCAGAGTCACACGCATTTTGTTTCACTCTCGGTTTTTAGCGGGATCATATTCCCATATTAGTTTACTGTACTAGTTACGTCCAAATCGAAATGGACAATTCAATCGTGCCTGTCTGAGGGTGTATCCGAAAAAAAGACATCAGCTCCGTAACGACTGCCCCAGCGGGTTCAAAGAAAATGCATCCCAGGAATAGAGATATGAAAAAAACTTTATACACATACGTGTATATATATGTACGATTATATACGTATATATATATATATATATATACGTACACGTATATATATATATATGTGATTATATATATAATTATTTAATTATTTATAGTGATATATCTATATCTATATCTATCTCTATCTCTATCTCTCTCTCTATCTC